GCTTAATCCAGCAGTGTAAACATAGCAGTTTCTCTGAAACTGCTATGTTTGCATCTGCAGGGTTAAAACCTGAGGGACCTGGTACCCAGACCACTTCATTGAGCTGAAGTGGTCTGGGTGACTATAGGGTCCTTTTAAGACAAACATACCAAATTCTAAAATCGCTCCACATTAAAAGTTTATTTTACTCCTTATGTTTTGTGACCTGTAACTACCAAAAATCAGAACAACTAAATGAATTTATTTGTAATTACTTTCCTTAACCTGCACTAATTAAGCACACATTATTATTGCAAAAACTGTAAAAGAAAAACCAATATTTTCTTTTTTCTGTAATTTTTTTTTTGTTTATAATTAATAAATAAGCATTTATATGTTACACCAAATTAAAGCCCTTTCTGTCCTTTAAAAAAACGGTATATAATATGCGTTGGTGCAATAAATTAGTCAAATGCAAGTTGCAGTTGAACGCAAACAACAAAAAATCGTGTGTCATTAAGTGCAAGACAAGCTTTTGAAGCTGTATCCTTTACCCCCTTAAGGACCAAACTTCTGAAATAAAAGGGAATCATGACATGCCTCACATGTCATGTGTCCTTAAGGGGTTAAAACATCCATTGCACCTGTTTCATAAATCATAACACATTTGGCTTCTGAAATTCAGACTATGCCACCCATATTTTAGTGGAGATTATTAGAGCAATTTTAGACTTGAATAAACTGGAATCACTATTACAAATAGAGCAATATGAAAGTTAGGAAACAGCACAGGAGGCGCAAACTTCCTACTTTTTTCATAACATAGTGTTATAAATTAGGTGCAATTTCTTTTAGTGCCACCTTTAAAAACCCATCACAGTGCCCTTTGAGCTTACACCTGTGCGGTCAGTAATCAACCTTATGGTCTTTCTGACTAGTTACTCACAACCAATTTTCATCCGAGCTGCAGAAACTCCCGGCTCTCTGTAGACCTTCTGTAGAATGTCTGTTTGTACCCCTGTTGTGGCAGCAAATGGCACCACCTATTACCCACGTTTTAACTTTTTCCTAGTTAACCATATGCTTTACAGATTTTGTATGTTTTCCTTTTGCAATGGTTCACTATTTATAGGCTGGAGTAAGCCATTTTATACATTATTCTTGCGAGGACTGTGGTGACTTGTCAGTTGGCTGTTGGGGTTTGTGGGTTTTTTTTTTTTTGTCATTCTTATACACCTTGATAAGGATCAATTTCTTTCCTAATAAGCCATTTCATCGTTTCAATCTACGTATGATTGTGGTTTAGCTCCTGAGTACGAATGACTCCAATATTCTTTCATCTGTCCTGGACTCAGAATTCCCTCTTACTAAAACTGTATCAGTGGCAGAACTACTGCCTGCACGCCGGAGGGGGTACATGCATTTAGGGTCAGCCAATGGGTATTATTGCTGAACAGGGACGCAGTCAGGCACAAGGCCCTCTAAGACCGTGACCGGGCCCCTTTCACATCGGCCGTGCTGGGCGGAAGTGACAGATGATTATTTTCTCCCAGCTTCTTTATAGAGAGTGGCATGGCGAGCAGCAGACGGGCCCATCAGCTGTCCCTCGAAGGGGCCCTGCCAGGTTCACTAGCTTCCCCTGTGCCCACACTCCTCCGTGGCAGCGCTAGGAGGAAGTGATATCCCATCCTGTCACTTCCTCCTAGAGCGTGTAGGAGGGAGCCCTCACAATATGCAGAACATGGGACCTGTTTATGCAAACTGGCCAGCAGGAGGAAGTAGCAAATGAAGAGAGACAATGGGCATGTGCATATTCCTGCAATGAAGGTGGTACTCTATGGGTCACTGTGTGTGTGTGTGTATCTGTATTTATGTCCTTATATTTGTGTATCTATGTGTGGAAGTGTGCATGTGTATGGCAGTGTATATTTATATGTCCATACGTCCCAGCATTCAAACACCAACGCAATAACCCCTACATACAAATGCACAACTACATACAGACACACCACTACATTCAAATGGCAACAGCACATACAAACACACTACTAGATTCAAAGACACACATACTCCAGGTAGATTTACACACACATACGATGATCACAAATATAACCATGCAATAAATGGTAGATTTAGCTTGCAAAGCATTGTGGGAGCTGCACAATAGTTAATGATCCAGGTTTTGATCTACATTTTAGCCATCCTTGAGCTAGAGAAACCCCCCCAAAAAATGTCTTGCACCAGGGCCCTCTCTATATTAATTCCGCCACTGAACTGTATGGTCTGTAAATATCTGGGCAAAGGAAAAAAAAACATTTGGGGGATATTTTTTTGCTTATACAATACTCCGCAGGCAATAATCTTCTTCCCGGGCTCATAATTCACAAGCCACACCTCCTACTATGTGAACTAAATCTATTAGATTAAGAGGACACTATAGTCACCAGAACACCTACAGCTTAATCTAGTTGTTCTGGTGAGTATGATCATTGCCTTCAGGCGTTTTCATGCAAACACTGCCTTAATAAGTGTTTACATTGCCCCTAGGGACACCTCCAAGTGGTCTCGCCTCCTTGTCTAAAAAAAATCGGCAATTCTGATGTCATCAAGTATGCGAATTGGGGCGGGGCGCAGCGATGGAAGTAATGTGAGTTTTTGCCTTTTCTAAGGGAGCTAAGGGGGGCAAGCCACCTAAATGGTGATTTTAACACTAGAGGGTCAGGAATACAAGTTTGTGTTCCTGACCCTATAGGGTTCCTTTAAGCTACTCAAGTGAATAAAAAGTTACTGTTTTGGCTAAGTGAGACATACATGGTGAAAAAGAAAACAGTATAAGAATATATTGTTAAAACAAAACTAATTTTAATTTCAAATTTATTAAAAGTGAACATGAATACATTTAACATTCTGAAACATGTACAGTTATTGCTTTCTTCTATTCCCATACACACATTTTGAAGTTCTCCTTTAATCACAGGCTTGGCATATGGTATATAATAAGGTTTTTAAAACATATGAACACTTTTTTTTTTTTTAAATTTACAAACTAGAACTTTTATTTCTTCCCTTTTTCATCTTGTGTTTAGTTTTTTGCAAGAGGGCAATAAAACCTTTTCTTTGGTTGCACACATTTGTCATCATTATATATTTTTTTTTTTAACCCAACACAACTGAAGTGAAACCACAGCTTGCGCGCAAAACATTCCACCATGGGAGTTTTTGACCTGTAAATATGACACTTACAGTGAACTGTAAGCTCAACTCTCTTAAAAAAAAACATTTTGCTGGTGCATTCAATATCTTGTGTGGAAACATTATCGTCTTTTCAGCTAGACAATTGGGTCCTCATTTTACTTTGTTGTAGATTCAGCATGTTTAAATCAAATCCACTTGCAAGGGCTACAGCATTTGTAATAGCAAATACGCCACAGTCACTGCCTGCCTCTTGCTTTTGATAGCAAATATGGTCCAGTTTTAAGACCATATCAGCTCCACTAAATAAAGGCCTGTACAATTTTACCAGTTGTTCTTTTAGTGCATCTTGCATTTTAGAGGGCTTAAAGGATTCATACACTGTAATAGTAGTACCATTTCTGTGAGATCCAACCCAATGATTGGACACATAATTAATTTGCAGGGTCTGCTCACATTCAGGTGCTTGCACAAACTGATGTGCTAGGAGTAATGTGTCTATTAGTCCTGAGAACAAAGGGAAATGCCTATAAATCAAATGTTGACATACTTTTATAGTGTTGTCATCCAACCAGTTATTTTTTTCAATATTCCATTTATCACTTTAAGTGAGCGAAATATTATTTATAGTCACCCATTTATCTAATGGATTTAAGTCCACCACTCTCGTAGAAGGATCTTCACTACTTTCCCAAGCCTTTTGTTTTTGCATTTCCGCTTTGGACCCAAATCTTTGTGATCCTAGCGTTTTAGGCTTTCCATATGCTCTTATAGGTAAAGGCTGCAGATTTTACAAAAGTTTGGATTTCTGTGGAGACTCAAGCAGAGGGAGTCCATGGTCTACATGTATTTTAAGTTTGCGCCTTGGAGCAGATCTTTGACTAAGGAATCCAATTCCCCAAGATAATCTTCATCCTTGATTAAATACACAGAATCCAAGAGACACTTTAAATTCTGTGTACAGCTACGCAGTAATGTAACTCTTTTTGTTCTCCTGCGTGGTGTAAGTGGAGTAAACATATCAAGGTGGAATAAGGTAGGGCTATGAAAATCTTGACTGCTGACCATGACCCAACCCCCCCACCCCCTGTTGCCCAATAAATACACGACACCTTCTGTATGGGTAAGTGCAACGGCCACAGCTTTATTAATTGATTATCAACAGATTATCGCCAGCGTCCACAACCTGTCAGCTGTTGGGGGATTACCAACAGACAGCTCTATCAGCCTGCCCCCGCCATCAGCTCTCAGCAGGCTGCGACTCCCCAAGCCGCTTGGGCACTTCCTTCCAATCCTCTTCGCTGGCCAGGACTACCGCGAGCTGTGACAAAACAGAGAAAACAGCACACAACCAACAGCAACACCATCGTAAACATATATGGGCGGGCGGGAAGCTAGCAACACAACACCTCTGCCCGGGAACTGGTGAGTACCCTCCCCCTTTTTCCCCTCTTAACGTACCCCAAGTGCCACAATGTATTCCCTTATAGACCAGCCCCTTATCCCTGCCAGCAGTCATGTCCTCCCTTCCTTATATTTCCAGGGAGGTACTTGACTGCTGACCATGACCCAAACCACCCACCCCCCATTGCCCAATAAATACACAACACCTTCTGTATGGGTAAGGGCAACGGCCACAGCTTTATTAATTGATTATCAACAGATTATCGCCAGCGTCCACACCCTGTCAGCTGTTGGGGGATTACCAACAGACCGCTCTATCAAATTGACCCTCGAGTCCGGAGCAGCCTGCCCCAGCCATCAGCTCTCAGCAGGCTGCGACTCCCCAGGCCGCTTGGGCACTTCCTTCCAATCCTCTTCGCTGGCCAGGACTACCGCCACCGCGGTCCCTCCCTACCTACTCCCTTGGGAGGAACCGAGCCCCCCCGCAGCCAGCGCCTCCTCAATACCAGACTGTAGTCCCACATTGAAGATATCCAACCCTATGAGTGAGAGGTGTACCCCATCCTTATGCATCAGGTTGGAATTGTCCCCTTCAAGTTCTCTGTGCCTAACGACAAACCCGCCGAGGCAGCGGAAAACTTACCAATAGCCACATTTAACTTGCGCCTACTACGCTCCACGCCCTTTGCATGATTTAAGCGCACACCAACACGGCCTGGACACTATGTCTGACCAAATAAGGGTGAAATTGGGGAAGAGGGCCATACAACGCGCCAAATCATGCCTAATGGCATGCAGGAGGTCCACTGACCTGCTGCGCCCTAGGTCATTACCCCCCGCATGAATAACCAGAGTCACTGGCCCCGACACGTACCGATGCAGGGATACACATTCGGAATACATCTGCTGCCATAACATCCCCCTAATACTCCTCCACCTTACCCTGACTACATCGTAGGGAAAACCCAAATTTCTCCTATAGGGACGCTCCTCAGCTCGCCGCGCTGCCCAATACACGAAGGAATGTCCCAGTATCCAGACGCAGTGAGGCCGAGGACCTACGGAGAAAATGTGTTATAGTAAATATGGTCTGACATAAGACCTGTAGCGATTTGAACCCCATCTACCCAATTGCTGAATCGCTGCGTCTGAGAAACCCCACAAACTAGCCTGGGTGGCAGCCCCTATACAAAAAGAATGAGCCGAGTACTGGCGAGGATTCATCCCACACTCAGCTAGCGCAGCCCGGAACCTGGCAGAAAATTGGAAGTGTGTGAGGGGGGATCCATCCCTATGAACCAGGAAGGGGAGACACCACACCGGCCAGTCCTTGGGGGAAGCTAGCAACACTACACCTCTGCCCGGGAACTGGTGAGTACCCTCCTCTTTTTTCCCCTCTTAATGTACCCCAAGTGCCACAATGTATTCCCTTATAGACCAGCCCCTTATCCCTGCCAGCAGTCATATCCTCCCTTCCTTATATTTCCAGGGAGGTACTGGAATTTCTGTTTCTAACTTGTGCTCAAAATGCAATAAAAAAACATTATAAATCTAAAGAGAACAGGGGATTACTTAAATATGATAAATGGAGCTTTTCCCATCCCCATCCATCCACAAATTTAAAAATGCAACACGTGCTTACAAGGTAAGAAATGTTTTGTTTTTTTCCAGTCCTCACATGGGCATGTTGGTACATTTCCTGAAAAATTAACAGTATATTCTTGAGATTTTTGTGACCTTGCTTTTTACTTTAAACAGTCCTGCAGTGTAGTTCACCTTGGTGATATTAGCCTCAGTAAGAGAGCTTGACATGACTGCTGACCCATACCGTTGCCCCCCAATAACACACAACACCGTATTCTGATGGATAAGGATAACGGCCACAGCTTTATTTAACATAACCAGTTTTTAAACTCTGCCAGCTGTTGGGGGTTGCCCAACAGACAGTTCTTCAGAATTGTGTACCATGAGTCTCAACAGCCGGCTACTCGCCATCAGCTCCGTGCAGACTGTTGTCTCCCCAAAGTTCCTCTTATATCTGCGCTGTCCAGGGTAAACCTGCCACCGTGATGCCCACCCAGAGCACTACGCTGCGCGGGCATCGCTCCCCCCCGCCGACAGCGTGGCCTCAATCCCTGCTTGCAAACCCACACTAAAAATGTCTAAACAAATGAACCCCATCCCGTCTCATCACGTTTTCATTCACCCCTTCCAGCTCGAAGTGCCTAACCACTATGCCACCCAGGTGGCGTACAAACGGGGAAATAGTCATGTTGACTTTGTCTATAGCGTTGAAACACCTTACCATACCCTCCCGGACGCGGAACGATCTCAGACCAGACGAGGGTCAGATCCCTGAACAATGCAAAACAGTGGGCCAGGTCATGCTGCATCGCATGTACCAGGTCCACCGACCGCCGGCGACCAACCTCGTTCCCGCCCGCGTGAACCACCAGGGTCACCGGCCCTGACACGCAATGACTGAGTTGCACTAACTCGGCGTACAGCCCGTCCCAAGACAATCCCCGATTACCCCTCCAACGTACCCGGGCTATGTTTTGCGCCTTGGAGCAGATCTTTGACTAAGGAATCCAATTCCCCAAGATAATCTTCATCCTTGATTAAATACACAGAATCCAAGAGACGCTTTAAATTCTGTGTACAGCTACACAGTAATGTAACTCTCTTTGTTCTCCTGCGTGGTGTAAGTGGAGTAATAATATCAAGGTGGAATAAGGTAGGGCTATGAAAATCTGGAATTTCTGTTTCTAACTTGTGCTCAAAATGCAAAAAACACATTCCAAAACTAAAGAGAACAGGGGATTACTTGAATATGATGAATCGAGCTTTTCCCATCCCCATCCATCCACAAATTAAAAAATGCAACACATGTGCTTACAAGGTAAGAAATGTTTTTCCAGTCGTCACATGTGCATGTTGGTACATTTCCTGAAAAATTAACAGTATATTCTTGAAATTTTTGTGACCTTGCTTTTTACTTTAAACAGTCCTGCTGTGTAGTTGACATTGGTGATATCAGCCTCAGTAAGAGAGCTTGACATTCTATGCATCACATGAGAAACACACTCTCTTGGACGATTTTTAAAAAATGCAGGAACATCTTCTTTACATCGCCGATACAGTTCAGAACTTTGTGAATTCATTTGCACATATCTGAAAAATAGTTTGAAAACGGTAAATCTCAAATTCAACCTTGTTTACTACAGGCTTGTCTTGTATGCATTCATTAATATTTTTCTACATTATATGACGTAAAATGATCTTTGTGGGATGAGTGTTCTTCAGCATACACATCTTCCTGGCCTTTATAATCAATCTTGTTATAGCCTACATCTTACTATTGAATAACTGTACCTTTTACTACAAACATCAGATAAAGTGATATTCTATTAACACAGGTCACAAGTCAATTTTACATTTCTTTCCAATGTGCCAATGACCGGAACGTAATATTTACCCTGCTGTGTGTACTTAGTACTAGCTATCTTTTTTAATTTTATTTTTATTTGTCAATGTATAATGATGACATTAAAAAAATAATAATAATGTACCATATGTATGCTCAAATAAATGTCAACAAAGGGATCCAATTCCACTACAGAATTACAGGGCATCTAGATTTGAGGCTTATTAGCAGATCTCTGTTAAAAAGTCTGATCATAAGGTGAAATTGAATATAAGTTGAGGTAACATTCATAGCATTTCCTCTGAAAAATAACTTTTCTTATATTTGAGTAAATACGATATATACTTTTATAGTGTTATACACCTAATAAGGGTACACACAGACATAGGTGTGACAGATAGTGACTTGGGATTAACTATACAGCATATTCTTCACATTAGCTAATAACACCCTTTGCACAACTCAGGTACTGGCTGTAAAAAATACGATTTTAACATAATCTTAAAGTGCAGGACACAAACCATTTTATTAACAGTGACTGTAGAGAAAAAAGTGATATATTCCATAACCTAAATTGAAATCAAATGCATAGGTAATTGTCTTGATCCATGCCTTTGCTTTGTCTACATTCACAGTAGGAACAATATTTAGGCAACAGGGCAACTTTACACTATAATTGTAGTTGCATTTATTAGTTTACATAAAATGATTTCCAATAGCTTAACTTACTTTTTGTAGACATTTGGAGAAAAATTACAATGTAGAACTGTAATCAACTCTCCAAGGGTGCAGTTCTTATATCCCTCCAGATATGTATGCTTCAGTACTTCATTTTGCCTCTCCAGTCCATTGTTGGTATGGATGCCAACATGTAATTCTCCAGTTCTAGAAGCATGTTCTGACTTCTATATTGGGAAAAAGATAAATAAAAAATAAATAAACTTTTTTTTTTTTTTTTTTTTATATATATACTTCCCAAAAATTTTAATTAAAGTGCAATCTTGTTTTAATTGACAATGTAAAAATAGCGTGGTGGTGCATAAAACTCTTGACTCCACACACAGACAATATACAATATGTTCGAATGGCATTCTTTGACAGAAACTTGATATAACTTTTATTTCTGGCAACCATTTCTTTGAAAACCATTGTCTCAATGCGTCACTTTTGTGCCATATGTGGGATTCAGTAAGTGCACAAAGTGCCTTCTGATGGTCTTCAAAGCTAGCTGCTAAGCCAAGTTTCCGAAGCATACTTGGCACATGTTGCCGACTCTCATATACACCGTGGTCTTTTTTGGTAACCCACTCGGTCCAGGCTTTCTCTCAATGAAAGTCGCAAAGAAAAATGTGTGTGTTTTAAAATGTATGATTTTAATTAGAACTGGAGAGTAGATATGTTTTTATCTCATCTTTAATCCAAAAACTATTCAGAAGCACTTGCATTTCAAGAGTAATAATAACAGCATGTAAACCAGTAACATTTGTGGGTAAAGGGTGAGTAATGAAAAATATCTTAAAATAATATATATCACAGTAATTTGTAGGTCATTTTCTATTTTCACACTTGAACTTGTAAAAGTTAATCTTAATGCACACCAAAACATTTAAAAACTGTAAAGGTGCAACTGCACTCAAATTGTATGATAGTCTAAATAGAAAAAATGAGATGATTGATCTACATGCTTTCAAGTAACATATACAACACCAAGAATTTGTATAACACTAAAGAATTTTATCAGTCATAAATTTATATTTTCTATGGAGATTTTGTACCATTGAACAGATCTTTGCACGTTAGTGATATTTTATATTTTCTTTATTTGAACCTATATAATATAGCTACCTTTTGAAGGTTTTGGAGATGGCATTAATCTCTTCCAGACAAAAATCAACCAAAACGCAACTTGGTTTCCGCTCTGGATTCCATGTTTTGAACTTTTCCAATGCCTCTTGTATGGCTGTAGCAGTCTCCTATTGAATCACAAAAGCACCAACTACAACATAGCATACATTTGTACGAACACAAAGGGGAAAAAAAGGGAAGTACGTAACGTGTTGTTCAGTATGTAGCATCCAAGGGAGTTATTTGGTTACCGTAAAGTTTTAGCAATCTCTTTTGCTAGTGTGTTTTGTTAAAAAAAAAAAAAAAAAAACAGAAGGCTTTGCGGATGCACAGTGTTATCCTCACAGGTGCTCAACCTGCAAAAGACATTTAATTTCTGGATTCATTTACTACCAGGAATTTACCAAGTGCAGGATATTTTCCTAGTCTACTGTTGAGCTTCTGCCCTCGCGTCTAGATTTAAGCATTAGGTTGGCAATATCTTTCCTGGTAAGAAAAAATCTTCTCCATGGCTCTTCAGGTAAACTTGCATCTGGGAAAAGTTATTGGGCACCAAAAGCAGTCTTAGAATTTCCATCACTTTCCTGACACCACGCCTGTACAAATCTATTTTATGTTGTACTCTTACATCCACCGTCTCTAGAATATTTACAAAGTGTTAAAAAAAAACCATACATATTAAAAATTACAGTTAAATTGAATGGCTCCTCAATGCACAACTCTGTGTGGAGCAGCATGTCTGTTGTTCTTTTCAGACTGTACTCAAAGTACTCCTTTTTGATCTGTCATAGTATCACATACAATTTTTGATTTCAAGGTTGGCAAAGGCATATAAAAATTATATCACACATTTCTATATTTTCTTGAGAATCAGAAATAGGATTAATAGGCTGTTTGATTTTGTAGAACCATTGTTTTCTTTGATAACAGATTTTAATTTGCTACTGCCAATCAGAATTGTTGGATCATATGAACTGTGCAGTTAGTTGGTTAGTAAGCATTGATATTCATGTTGACATATGCATTTGTATTTATAATGGGATGTACAGGAATACCTCGCTTAACGCTGTAGATAGGTTCCAACTGCTATGAGTGCTAAGCAAAACTGCTCTAAACAGGGCAGTTTAACATGGGGAAGATAGGGAATCAACTTTGAAAAAAAGAGACACCACCAATAGAATTTTAATACTTTTAAAACATTTTTTTACTTGTTGTGAACTGCACACAACAGCATAAATAAAAAGCTAAATAAACTAAGGGTTTTGCATCTAATAAATTAAACAAATTAAAGTAACAGTCCAAAAAATAAAAAGGTTTAAATGGTGGATGTGGGGGCTCCAGGGTCGTCCTCCTGCCTCGTATTTTTGGCCACAAATTGGTCAAGGGTCATTTGTCTATGCTTCTTGCGGCTATCCAGCAGAAGGCGTTAGCAAAACACCCCTCCCAGCACAATGCGCCTTGCATTTCTGCTCCTAGTTGCATCAGGATCATTGGCCACCAGCTCATCCATTATGTCATTGACCTGATGCAATGCTCTGTTTAGGAGCTCAGAGGAAAGCTCTTATGGAGGCCCAGTGTCCGAGTCACTGGTGTGCTAAGGTTTCTATGTGCCCTGTTCCAGCCAGTTCAAGATCCTCATTGTTGAGGCTCTTACCTGAAGCCTGGACTAACTGCTCAATGTCCCGAGCATCTGTGTCTCCTAAAAAAAAAATTACCACAAAAGCGCGCTAAACTGATATTGACCAGAGCCCTATCACCCCTATCACCCCTGACCAGAGGCTTCCTGTCAGAGGAAGCCTGTGGAGGCGGGCGAAACGCGTCACGTACACATCACGAGAGAGGCGGACCCGGAAGTGATCACGTGATCGGGATGGACGAAACCAGGAAGTAACTTTCTGTCAGCCGTTTATATGCTTTTATGTGGGTAGCTATGTAAGCATAACCCAGCACTCGCAAAGTAAAAGTTTTTAACTGTTGTCTTTTAATAAAGTGTATTTGATACTATTCAATTGTAGGTCCTGCCTCTCTCTGTCCTATATTGCACAGCTTAACCAGTTTTCAAGTGGACACACCATTTGGAAGCCTACCAGTGTGTGAATTTTCCCTCTCAAGTGGAGCATTACAAACCCAGAGCCAGGGGTCATAGGGCTCTGGTCAATATCAGTTTAGCGTGCTTTTGTGGTAATTTTTTTTTTGTATTTGTGTATACTTCTGTATCACTGGGATCGAGTGCTGCCTTACTATATTTGTTATATCCTATAGCGCTGACACACTGTTGGTTTTGTTATCTGTGTCTCCTAGTCCAGCTGTGGTCACAAGGTCAACTATCTCCGCTATGATGCGCTCTGGTAGTTGCACATCCTCACACAGCTCTGGCCAGATCTTTTTCCACACAGCCTTGAGGCACTGCTGTGTCACCTCCTTCCAGGAAAGATCAATGTTGGAGACAGCCTTCATGATGTGGTACTGCTTCCAGAAGTCCAACATAGACTGCTTGTCCTCGCCTGATGGAATGTGCGGCGGAGATAGTAGGTCTTGAAGGTGGCAATCACCTCTTGGTCCATAGGCTGGATAAGCGACGTTGTGTTGGGCGGTAGGAACAGGACCTCCACAGGAATGTAGGTGGGCAGCTCAGCCAAGTTAGTCGGGTGGCTCAGCGCATTGTCCATGATGAGCAGTACTTTTTCCTCCAGTCCCTTGCGCCGACAATAACGCTGCACGGAAGGGCAAAAATGGTCAGTGAACCACTCTGTAAAAATATCCCTGGTGATCCATGCCTTCCTGTTTGCCTTCCAAATGACTGGCAAGCTTGACTTGCTAATGCCCCTCATTGCCCTCGGTGTCTGGGAGTGGTACACCAGCAGTGGCTTTATACGGAAGTCACCGTTGGCATTCCCACCCAAAAGAAGGGTCAGCCTGTCTTTCGACGCTTTAAAGCCTGGTGCTCTCTTCTGCTCCCTGGAGATGAATGTGCGGCTTGGCATCCGCTTCCAGAAGAGCCCGGTCTCATCCACATTGAAGATAATCTCCGGTGGATAGCTCCCTGTATCCACCACGTCCTTTAAAGAGGCAGTAAAGGCTGCAGCAGCTCCAGTAACCGCACTTGCCGCTTCACCGGTGATCTTAAGGTTGTAGAGGTTGTACCTTTTCTTAAAGCGGTCAAACCAACCTCTACTTGCTGCAAAACTCTCCATCACATCTGGATCTTGACTCTGTATGTGAGCGTAAATCTCCTCAAGCGCGTAGGACCTGGAGCGGGTGATCTTCTTGGCTGAAGAAGCAGTGCTGGTCGTCGCTGAAGTGCGGATCTTATCCTTGTTTTTGAGGATAGTGCGGATAGTGGAGGTAGTCAAATGGAGATCTGCCCCGATATCCACCTGGCGCTCTCCTTTATCCAGGCGGTCCAGTGCTTGGATCTTGACATCCAGAGGAATACTCTGGCGCTTGCCCTTAGCCTGCTCCTCTTTGTGCTCAGACAGTATAAAATACAATGAATGTAGATTTTTCATTATGCAACACAATGGAACAATGCAGTATTCTGTACTGTACCTTGCCAGCGGATGTTCTCTGCAGGATTTGGGGGTCCCTGATAACAATCACTAGATGTGACTTTATCTGCATTAGCCCCCCCCAAAAAATTTTTAAAAAAAATTGTATTATAATCACATTATTAAATACAAGGAAACAAAGGGAACAAAGAAACAAGGGGGGAAAATTGTATTAGACAGCTAATAATAATCACGTTAATAAAAACAAGGGAACAAAGAAAGTTGGATTTTCCAGGTTCGATCTCTCTCTCTCTCTCTCTCTCTCTCGCTCTCTCTCGCGCTCTCTCGCTCTCTCTCGCTCTCTCTCTGTTTCGCTCGCTCTCTTTCGCTCTCTTTTGCTCTCTTTCGCTCTCGCTCTCGCTCTCTCGCTCGCTTTCTCCCTCTTTCTCTCGCTCTCTCTTTCTCCCTCTTTCTCGCTCTCTCTCTCGCTTTCTCCCTCTTTCTCGCTCTCTCTCTCTCGCTTTCTCCCTCTTTCTCGCTCTCTCGCTTTCTCCCTCTTTCTCGCTCTCTCGCTTTCTCCCTCTTTCTCGCTTTCTCCCTCTTTCTCGCTTTCTCCCTCTTTCTCGCTTTCTCCCTCTTTCTCGCTTTCTCCCTCTTTCTCGCTTTCTCCCTCTTTCTCGCTCTCGCTCTCTCTCTCTCTCTCTCTCTCTTTCGCTCTCTCTTCTCCCATGGTGCCCCTGTTAACACTGTAACGACGCAGTCACGCTCTTTTAGTGTTAAGCAGGTCGTGCACGGAAAAAACAGCGATATAGCGGGGTTTAGCACTCTGCGAGTACCAGTACGGTAACAGCGCTATAGCGAATCAGCGCTATGCGGGGTAGCGCTAAACGGGGTATCCCTGTACGTGAAGGTTGCATATTTTTCATTTTCAAATTCAGGCACTCACAATTCATATTCTTAAAGGATAAGTAGTTTGCTTTTTAACCCTTGCTTCCTAAAAGTATAGGAAGATTTGAAAGTTTTTTTTTTTTTTATTTATTTTTTTATTAACTTCAAATATATAATGTGCATTCTTTAGATATTACCTCCCCAGAAGTTGCATGGTTATTGTTGTCAGACAATTGTGGAAATATTGTTATACATCCATGAATCACTTTCAATTGCTCAGTATCTTACAGAACTGCCTTTCGAAGTTTCTTTGATGCCGTTTGTGACAGAACCAACTGCCTGTGAAATACTTTTATTGTTCCCCCATTCATCTGTTTGTTCGGCTATTTCCCTGTCCTTACGGCCCCCACGCTTGTTTCTTTTATACCGAACAATTCACCAAATGGCCGGCCACCCAGCATGGAAGTGTGTGGCTGGTTAACCTCTTGGCCTCATTAGAACGTTGTGGTTAACCGCAGACACTTCCTAATTGTCGAATGCCGACTGGGTGGTCGTCGTTCGTATGCCGACCATGAGGCGGCGGCCATCTTGGACATACGAATGCTCAGCGGTGTTCGTCGACGTTTTCATGGAACTAAAAACGGACGCTGTTTCTTCCGAACACCGCTGAAAGCCGCAGACATCCCTTCTTCTATTATGCCAGCATACGACTGCCGGTCCGATCGGTAGTTTCTTTTCATGAATAGACTTATCCCAGATAGCTGTGCCATGGAGCCCATTCGTATAACGAATGACTATGTCAAATACTTTGGCTCAAAGTGTTTTTCACATGCAACTGTCTTCCACCAGGTCCCCTAGGGGAGTATCCACCTGGTGGAAGACCTGCATAAATACCGGGCAGATAGCCCATAACTGCTGACCCTCAATACGGAGCTTTGTCTCGTACTGGGGGGGGGAGAGGGGATTTATTCGGATGTTTGGAGGGTGTATGATTCGTATGGTTCCTGTTCGGCTGATTGGAGTGATCGGTAGTTGCCTTCATATTCGGGAAAGGAGCATCTTACACGGTTTTAACCCCTTTTATCCCTGGGGTACCGTAACACCGTTTTTTTTTTTCCTTTTCTCTGTATAACTTTTAATCTGAAAAATGCTGTATTAAAAAAAAAATGCAATACTACAAGTAGAACACAGTTTAAAGCAGGGCTTGACAAATTTCCTTGGAATCTTTTTTTAAAAAAAAACTTATAAAGCTTTGTGCTTAAGAAAAGCGCTTCCCTTTGAAATAAAAGGGAAAGGTTCTTAATAATTTCAAGGTAGTCAAGCAGAAAATGGAGCATGTGCACGAATTTAACAAACCATGTGCCACTGCAGAAGCATGGTGTTGTTCTGCAGCAACACTTTCCAGTTGGACTGTCACACATTTCCAGTCATTGACAAGTGCAGAGAGAGCACTGACTTTGCTTGATACCCATCTTATGTTATGCAAGTACTGAAATTTCAGGACATTTTTTTGAAAACTATCAGCTACCTGCTTCAGCTGTCGCAATCTCTTGGGTGAATACTGATAAAATTTTAAAACAGAGTCGAGGTCATCAATGCATTTTCCGTCTTTCACAGAGCTTAATACACTTAAATTTTTTGAAAATATGTTTATTTAGTAAATTGGAGAGTCAGCAGTTAGAACAGTATAAAGACTCGCAGGTCTAGGTACGCATACATTGTAAGTGTAACAGAGGTAGGAAAAATTGGTGATCCATGAGATAAGGAGAAAAGAAATAAAACATAAATAAAATAAATTATTAAATAGATCCACCCCCTACCAAGCTTGCATGCCTATGAGTCAGCTTGTTTTACGAGATGAGTGGACACGCAGGTCCGTAATAACTATCCAAGGTGTATATCTAGGTACTCTTACCCCATAGTGAGGGACAAGCATATCCATTTCTTGTATGACAGTACAGTTTCATGTGTAACAATTACAGGTGGGAGCTTTGTGTCATTTATAACAGGTATTCACTACTCGGAGCACCAGTATTCCCTTGATTGTTACCTATGGCTGAGCTCGTGTAGCGTTCGAGAGTCCCTTCACCCAGTTGTGGTAGCCAGATGCTCGTGTCTGGCCCCAGTGTGGTACTTATCGTGGTGTTATTTAGCCTGAGTGTTACCCTAGTGTATGAGGAAGATATGGTTGGCGGCTATCTAGTGTTATTTATTCACAAGTGTGTCATAATCCTGGCTACTCGTCAGGTATCTGAGCCACATTGTGACCCGTGTCTCCCAGGCCTATTCAAATCTCTGTGCATTTATTAGTATCCCTCTATTAGTGTACGTTGTGCCTCCCTGGAATCCTTGTGAAATGTTGTATTGGCTATCCATCCCACAGTCAGTCTACTCGGCCCCGACCCCCCCCTCAATACACTTAAATTTAATCTGTGTGCAACACAGTGAATGCCAATTACATGTGTGAGATTTTGCCGTACTTTCTGTACCAGTCCATTTTCAGCTCATGCTGGCAGCACCATCTGTACCAAATCCAATCAGTTTGCTTGAAGAAAGCCAGTCTAAGAGGCCATGTGTCTTCAGGTCTTTAGTGATGGTTTCTAAGTACCCATCTGCAGTAGCCATTTCAAGAGGTAGGACTAATAGAAATACTTCTTTAATCTTATTGTTCTTGAAGTACCTGTCATACAATATTAGCTCTTCGACGCCTCATTTATCAGTTGATCTGTCTAGCATCAAACTGACATATTCCGCTTCCTTTAGCTCGCAGATGAGTTCTTTCCTTATTACATTTGCAATATGTGAGATGAATGCCTTGCATCTCTTGTCGTTTGCATGCTCCTCTCTCACAGCAATCCCTAGTTTCCCAGTCCGCTCTAGCAAACCTTCAAAATCTGTAAATGGCCTGTATGTTTTTTGCAATCTAATAAGCCACATTAAATAGAACGTTCATGTGGTTGAACATCCCTTGATCCATTTTCTTAACGCATGCAGCCAATGGCATAGCTTCTGGAGCCAACAGAGCATGTTTTGCCTTTGCACATTTTTTCAGGCTGGAGAGACTTTCCATGTTTTTTAAAGGTCTCCAGTTTAACTGGTCCTGAAAACCCTTTCACACACTTAGATGCTTGGTCAGCAAGGAAGCACAGATCTCACATATGGCTATACCCATGTTATGGTCAAATTTTAACCACGTGAGTTCCTTGCACCAATCTTGCTTAAACTTCCTTTTTCCAGCATTTTGAGAGTGACTTGTTGAAGGGGACTCCTCTGCTGGTTGTTCTTCTCTTGTGCAGGTTGGTTCTGCAGTAACCAGTTCCACTTCACTACTGCTGTCTAGATGGAATGTCCCCAACAAACCCCAAGTTGGATAAGTGCAACGGCCACCGCTTTATTAATTATACATGCCAGCAAAACCATACTGTCAGCTGTTGGCGTGATTACCCAACAGACAGGTCTATCCCAACAAACCATGAGTCCAGAGCAGCCTGCCTCCGCCATCAGCTCCCAGCAGGCTGCGACTCCCCAAGCCTCCTCGGCAACTTCTTCACTTCTGCCTGCTCCCGCCACCGCGATGACGACCTTCCCTCATGCCTCCTGTCGTCATCGCGCCCCCCGCCGACAGCGCAGCCTCGATCCCACTCTGTAAACCCGCATTAAAGATATCCAACCCGATGGCGTTTAGGTGTACTCCATCCTTCCTCATCAGATCCAGGTTATCACCCTCAAGCTCCACATGTCGGACGACTACCCTACCTATGCGACGTCCGAATTTCCCCACTGCAATATTAAGCTTGCGCCGGCTCTTCTCCAATCCGCGTGAGTACGGTAGCACGCGCCAGCACGGCCTGGAGACCACCTCTGACCAAACCAAGGTCATGTCCGGAAATAGAGCCATGCACCTCGCCATGTCGGGCTGAATAGCGTGGAGAAGGTCGACTGTCCTGGCTTTCCCTAAGTCATTCCCTCCCGCGTGAACCACCAAGACCAACGGCCCTGAGACAAACTTACGCAGCGCCATGAATTCTGGGTATACTTGATGCCAGAGAAGACCCCTAATGCCCTTCCACCGGACCCGGGCTAAGTCAAATGAGAACCCCAAATTCCGTCCGTAGGACCGGTCTTCTGCTCGCAAGCAGCCCAGTAGACGTAGGAATGCCCTATAATCCACACGTACCGGGGCCGACCACCTACAACGAGAAGAGGATTACAGCATATGAGGACGGACATAAGACTTAAAACGCCCCGACTCCCACCTACTAATGCCCGCTGCCGAGTAGCCCAATAAACTCGCCTGAGTGACGGCCCCGATACGAAAGGAATGGGCCGAAAACCCTTGACCATCCATCCCACCGGCTGCCAACGCTCTCCGTAGCATGGCTGAAAACTGATACCGCGTGAGAGGCGACCCATCCGAGTGAACTAGCAATGGGCCCCCCCACTCCGGACGCACCCTCATAAATCCGTGAAAGGCCTCAACCGGACAAACTTCGTCCCTAGTGGCCCCTAAACGAACCCAGGCGCCGCGGGCCACCCGATCCTTCTTAGACCGATGAACAAAAACGTCAACAGAAGAAGTAGACCACCGAACATCAGACCGCGCCAATGGCGAGGCCATCCTCCTACTAGGAGCGACCAGCTCGCCGATGCAAAATGCTCCGAAGAAACAAAACAAGAAGGCCAAACGAAAGAGATTGGACTCAAACCTTGAACTACAGACCGTCGGCAAAACTGCGAGAATGGGTCGCAACATCTCCAGCCGAAATCGGGCGACGTCGATCCGGGTACCGACGCAGACGCCACCCCTTTATCACTTTTTGTATCCCAAATTCTTTGGTTATATCGCGCCAACCCATGAAACTAAACCGAAAGGACAGAGCAGCCAGCGCCTTCTCTGCCGCCGCGCAAGACCTACCTCGCTTGAGCATATCTGCCAACATCGACAAAGTCGCTTCAAGATGCTCGGGTTCAGATGATATATCCATGTCCCGGGCTGTCGACAGCCATTGTCCCCACACAGTCCAGTATGCCCTCCAGGAAGACTCTGCCAAGAAATCCGTCACCAAGCCCATCAGGCCTCGAAATCGAGCTTCCATAAGGAGTCTGGACAAGTCAGACAGATCCGTCGATCCTCTGGCGCTGCCTCGCGAAACCGCTCCCACTGCAATCGAGACAGGGCGTCAGCCACCACATTTTTCACACCCGGGACATGACGCGCCCGCACCCAAACATTAAACTGCAGACTAAGTAGCACGAGCCACCGGAGAAGCGCCAAAACCGGAGGAGACGAGGAGGACGACCGAGCAATCACATGGACGACACTCATGTTGTCCGTGTGAAAGACCACCGTGTGATTTCTGAGGAAAAGTAAAGGACTTTTCTAGAGCTGTTCCCGATCGTGGTCCAGTGCGACCACGATCGGGAACAGCTCTAGAAAAGTCAAGTTCTGTCCGATCGGGGAGGACTGACAATTGTCGGGCCAAGCCCCCGCGCACCACTGGCCCCGAAAATATGCCCCGAAACCGACGGACCCAGAGGTATCCGTAAAGAGCTCTAATGCGGAATTGGAGGTGGCCTCCCTCAACCAGCAAGTGTGTCCATTGTAATGGTGTAGGAAAGAGCTCCACACCGCCAGATCCGCCTGAAGGCGTCTCGTGATCCGGATGTAATGGAAGGGTTCCCTCACTCCCACCGTGGACAATGACAACCTGCGACAAAATGCCCGACCCATCGTCAATACCCTACATGCGAAAACCAAGTGACCCAGTAGGCCCTGCATTTGGCGCATCTGAACCTTTTTGGATCCCTTGACCAGGTCAACCAGACGAAGTAACACTACCAACTTTTCCTCCGTTAGGCGAAAAACCATACTCTCAGTATCAATCTCGATACCCAGAACCGACACCAGCCCGACCGTCTTTTGCTCTGAAACTGGGACTCCGAAATCCGACGACATGCGTTGGCAGGCCTGGAGCAAAGAAAGGCAATCCTGAGAACCCGAAGGGCAGACGAACAAAAAAATCGTCCAAGTAATGAGTCAAGGAACCCAGACCCGACACAAGCGCCGTGACCCACTCCAAAAAAGAGGAAAACAGTTTGAAATAATAACAAGAGAGAGCGCAGCCCATGGGCATGCACATATCATAATAGTAGAACTCGTTAGCAAAACACCCTAGTAAGTGGAAACAATCCGGATGAACTGTCAACAAGCGAAAGGCGGACTCAATATCCGATTTCGCCGATAACGCCCCTCGACCGGCTCGCAGAAGAAGGAGCAATGCTGAGTCAAAGGAAGCGTACCCTGCACACCTCCTTGTCGATGTCGTCATTGACCGACGCCCCCGCAGGGTAGGACAGATGGTGAATTAACCTAAAAGCCCCTGGATCCTTTTTGGGAACCAAACCCAATGGAGACACCCTCAAATTGTGGAAAGGGGGGGAGTCAAAAGGGCCGGCCATGCGTCCCAGTTGAATCTCCACCTCCAATTTTTCCCGTAACAATCCCTCTTTTCCCCGAGTGGAGCGAAGGTTGCCGGCAAACTGACCCTCGTCCGCAGGCACAAATGGAATCCAGAAACCCCTCGTGAACCCGTCGAACAAGAGGACTGCAACGTCCCATTTAGGCTGCACTTCCAAGCGCTGACTGGTAAGTCCCCTCCCCTCTCTGTCCTTATAACTGTCCTGCCATTTTGGCCACTTTGTATCTATCTATACCCAACCCCTCTGCTTAGATTCCCTCAAGACTCCTTAGCCTGGCATCAGTCATTTCCCCCCTTCATTATCAGTCCAGGGAGGGGTCTTTCCAAACAAGATGTCTTTGCAAAGAAACTTGTCATCTGCAGTTGCTTTGCATCTTCTGATGTTGCAGCTTTTGCTGCACGCTTCATTTTTTTTCTGAAGTCCCAAAGAAAGATGTTTGCATTTTAATACGTTATTACTTCTGTAGTGGCATGGTCTCCAAAAAAAAGTATTATTATTATTATTATTATTTATTTTTTTAAAGCACTGCACCCCTTCTTGTTTACGGCTTTTGCCTATTAACTTTCTAAGACGCTGAAGTAGATTAAAAACCGCAAAATCAGTTAATCAACCTGCATGTGTCACATATATCGGACTTCTGGACAACAGCAGTATGTTACTGTGCATTTTGGGAGAAATAAAGTGATCCATGATCTTTCAGCAAAAAGTTGGAGGATCACTATTAAGGGGAACATTATGAAGATAGATAAAAGGAATTAATAAGGGGATAGCATAGTAAGAAGAACATTATCATTTTATTTGGAGTTAACAACAAAAAATTAAAAAACAAATTAAAATATTGTCTTTCACTTTGGCTTAACTCTGGTCAAACAAGTGTGCGTTTTTTAGATAAACAATAGTGGGGAAATAGTGACATCAAGCACTATACAGTGTCAGCAGATTCCATGATGAGAAGAGCTCAATAACATAAATACAATTTAAAAAATTACTTTGCTATCATAGCAATATAACCTCATATATCAATTTAAATTCACTTTGAGAACACAAATATTATTTTTATTACTATATTTTTGTATTTGTTATTACTATATTTTTTATTAATCCCAACATTATTAAAATTACTATTACTGCCATTATTACTATTACTGCCATTACTATTATTACTATTACTGCCATTACTAATGTAATGGTAGTAATAATAGTAATGGCAGTAATAATAATGTCAGTAGTAATAATAATAGTAATGGCAGTAATAGTAATAATAGTAATGGTAGTAATAATGGCAGTATTAATAGTAATGGCAGTAATAGTAATAGTAATAATGGCAGTAATAGTAATAATAATAATGGCAGTAATAATAGTAAAGGCAGTAATATTAATAATGGCTGTAATAATAGTAATGGTAGTAATAATAGTAATGGCAGTAATAGTAATAATAATAGTATTAATAGTAATGGCAGTAATAGTAATAATAATAGTATTAATAGTAATGGCAGTAATAATAGTAAAGGTAGTAATAATAATGGCAGTATTAGTAATAATAATGGCAGTAATAATAGTAATGGTAGTAATAAAAGTAAAGGCAGTAATAGTAGTAATAATAATAATAATAGTATTAATAGTAATGGCAATAATAGTAATGGCAGTAGTAATCATATTAATAGTAATAATAATAATGGCAGTAATAATTGTAATGGCAGTAAGAGTAATGGTAGTAATAAAAGTAAAGGCAGTAATAGTAATAATAATAATAGTATTAATAGTAATGTCAGTAATAGTAATGGTATTAATAATAGTAATGGCAGTAATAATCGTATTAATAGTAATAATAATGGCAGTAATAATAGTAAAGGCAGTAATAATAGTAATGGCAGTAATAATAATATTATTAATAGTAATAGTAAAGGTAGTAATAATAATGTCAGTATTAATAGTAATGTCAGTAATAGTAATAATAGTAATGGCAGTAATAGTAATAATAATGGCAGTAGTATTGGTAATGGCAGTAATAGTAATGGCAGTAATATTAATAGTAATGGTAGTAATAGTAATAATAGTATTAATAGTAATGGCAGTAATAGTAATAGTAATAATGGCAGTATTAGTAATAATGGCACTATTAATAGTAATGGCAGTAATAGTAATAATAATGGCAGTAGTAATAGTAATGGCAGTAATAATAGTAAAGGCAGTAATAGTAATAATAATGGCAGTATTAATAGTAATGGCAGTAATAGTAATAATAATGGCAGTAGTATTGGTAATGGCAGTAATATTAATAGTAATGGTAGTAATAGTAATAATAGTATTAATAGTAATGGCATTAATAGTAATAATGGCACTATTAATAGTAATGGTAGTAATAATAATGGCAGTAATAATAGTAATAGTAATGGCAGTAATAATAGTAAAGGCAGTAATAGTAATAATAATGGCAGTATTAATAGTAATGGCAGCAATAGTAATAATAATGGCAGTATTAATAGTAATGGTAGTAATGGCAGTAATAGTAATAATAATAGTATTAATAGTAATGGCAACAATAATAGTATAGTAATGGTAGTAATACTAGTAAAGGCAGTAATAGTAATAATAGTATTAATAGTAATGGCAGTAATAGTAATAATAATAGTATTAATAGTAATGGTAGTAATGGTAATAGTAATAATGGCAGTTTTAGTAATCGTAATGGCAGTAATAATAGTAAAGGCAGTATTAATAGTAATGGCAGTATTAATAGTAATGGCAGTATTAATAGTAATGGTAGTAATGGCAGTAATAGTAATAATAATAGTATTAATAATAATGGCAACAATAATAGTATAGTAATGGCATTAATACTAGTAAAGGCAGTAATAGTAATAATAATGGCAGTATTAATAGTAATGGCAGTATTAATAGTAATGGCAGTAATAATAATAATGTCAGTATTAATAGTAATAATAATGGCAGTAATAGTAATAATTGCAGTATTAATAGTAATGGCAGTAATAATAATAGTATTAATAGTAATGGTAGTAATAATAATGGCAGTATTAATAGTAATGGCAGTTATAGTAATAGTAGTAAAAGAAAAATATAATGTAAATAGACTTACCTAGATATCGCTGATATACACTCCTTCAAAAGTCGATGTTCTACTGCTCCTTGTTGCAAGTTGCTAGACGACCGCGCACTCTCAATGATGCGATTGTGCATGTGTGACGCATGTTACGTCACGCCGAGCCGCGTCTTAAAGTCCCGACACGGATCTTCACGGAGAGCATCTGCAGGCCAAAAATAGGCTAACAGCGGGCATGCGGTGAGTGCGGGCACCTTTGAAAAGGGGCTGGCAAATACACAAGCGCCAGGACCAAATTTAAAGTTATAACCTTTTAATGTACAGATGAGTGAATGTTTATCAAGCTCTAAGGCGCAGGCTAGACAAATAGATTTAGCCATGAAATTAGTGGCATGCATTATTTAGCAAAAATATAAACCCCTCTGACAGTGAATGCATGCACTCACCATGGCGTAATGGTTAGAATTTATGTAAGAGACATGAAATAAATAATTAAAGTATCTAATTTCGTAACAGCATGAATTATGGCTGATTGAAAGCAACGCCTGAAGTAGTTCCCTTGTGGCCTCCTTGACGTGTCATTCTTTATCTTCATAGGCTGATTGGACCTTTGACAATGCTATTAAAGAGTGGGGGGCCTGTGAGTATGCCGTTAAAGGGTGGGGGAGCTATGAGGGTGCCATTGGGGGGGGGGAGGGGGTGCTAGGCGAGAATGCTGTTGAAATTTGGGAAGAATGTGAGGTTGCGGTTGAGGCATAAGGGGAGTCTGCAACCTAGTAGGGTTAAGATGAATGGGAGGGGGAAACAAAGACCAGTACGTTCTTCACCAGTTTCTAGGGATCGACCGATTATCGGTTTTACCGATATAATCGGCCGATATTCGGTATTCTCGGCAAATTCAGATACCGATATTGCCGATAATACCTCCCAGGACCGCCAGGCCCATTACAAGCCCGGCGGTCCTGGGGGGGCGGGCATCAAGCGCTTACTCACCTCCCAGCAGCTCCTCCAGCTCCCCAGTGTAACTCTCGCGAGACCCATGGCAACGCTCCGCGCGACACGCTGGCCGCGAGAGTTACACTGGGGAGCTGGAGGAGCTGCTGGGAGGTGAGTAAGCGCTTGGTCTCCGCCCCCCCAAAGCTCAGCCAATACCACTGGACCACCAGGGACTGTCATATCCCCCCTCCCTGGCCAGGTAACAAGCAGGGAGGGGGGACAACAAAAATAAATAATAAAGTAAATATAATTTTTTTTTTTAATAATTTAATAAAAAATGCCCCCTCACACACTGCATTATATACACATACACTACACGAACACACTGTGTATATAATGCAGTGTGTGTTTGTATAGTGTGTGTGTGTGTGTTTGTATACAATGCACACAAACACACTGCATTATATACCCACACTACACAAACACACTGGGTATATAATGCAGTGTGTGTTTGTACAGTGTGTGTATATAATGCAGTGTGTTTGTACAGTGTGTGTATATAATGCAGTGTGTGTTTGTACAGTGTGTGTATATAACGCAGTGTGTGTTTGTGTAGTGTGGGTATATAATGCAGTGTGTTTGTATAGTGTGTGTATATAATGCAGTGTGTGTTTGTGTAGTGTGGGTATATAATGCAGTGTGTTTCTATAGTGTGTGTGTGTGTGTGTGTGTGTATATAATGCAGTGTGTGTTTGTGTAGTGTGGGTATATAATGCAGTGTGTTTGTGTAGTGTGTTTATATAATTCGGTGTGTGTTTATGTAGTGTGTGTATATAATGCAGTGTGTGTGTGTAGTGTGTGTATATAATGCAGTGTGTTTGTGTAGTGTGTTTATATAATGCACACTACACACACACTGCATTATATACACACACTATACAAACACACACTCTGCATTATATAAACACACTACATTCACTATACACACACTACACAAATACACACACACTCTGCATTCATTATATACACACACTTTGCATTTAGTATATACAGCATTCACTTTACGCACACTACCCACACACTACACAAACACTCTGCTTTCATTATATACACACTACACTAATACACACTGCATCCACTACACACACTAGACAAATACACACTGCATCCACTACACAAACACACATTGCATCCTCCACACACACTACACAAACACACACTGCATCCATAACACACACACTACACAAACACACACTGCATCCACTACACACACACTACACAAACACACACAGCTCCCCTGTCACACTGCATCCACTACACGTGGCATGTATATTTTGTGCATTTACCTTCAGAAATAATTTTTATTTTCCAAAATGGTAAATGTACAGAATATCGTCAAATTATATCGGCTATCGGCCTGAAAGTTCACAGAATATAGGTATCGGTATCGGCTCTGAAAAATCAATATCGGTCGATCCCTACCAGTTTCCTCCTGTGATGCCCCATTTACGCTTCTTCATCACATTTATGCTGTCCTAGAGTGAATTATGAAACAGAACGTGAACCATAAAATTTACACTTTCTTTCAATTTTTCCTAAATGTAGGGATTATAAACAGAACAAAAATACATACACACACACCACCCCTTCAATAGGGTATGGGGTTGCACTCACGGTCTTCTCAACAAGCCGACGTAGTCATAAATTTGAGGGGAAAAGGTTTAAAAATATTATCAGGAAGGACTTTACTGAGAGGGTAGTGAATGCATGGAATAACCTTCCAGCGGAAGTGGTAGAGGTTAATATGGTAGGGAATTAAAGCATTTGCGGGATAGGCAAAAAGCTTGTAGATAGACCAGGGACTAACAAAAGTATTCCTTTTTTCAGGCAGAAATTGGGCAGACTAGATAAACCATTTTTTTTTTTCTATTATCAGAAATAGCTGTCTCTGTGCATACATATAGAATTGAATGGCTAAGACAATATGCAACGTGGTCTTTTTGCAAATGGACTATGTAGTACAGGGCTGTCCAACCTGCGGCCCCCCAGATGTGGCTGAACTACAACTTCCATGATTCCCTGGCTATCTGTTTCATTGAACAAATCATGGGAGTTTTAGTTCAGCAAAATCTGCGGGGCCGCAGGTTGGACAGGCCTGATGTAGCATTTGAGGGATGGATTTGAAGCCCATGGAGAAAGTACAGATTAGGGAATAGGGCCCCGACAGGGCTAGGAGGCGGGCTAAGGGGAGGGAGCAGTAAGGGATTGGTAGAGCAGTGCTTGGGGGTTGGCTGATATAAATGGTCAGTCATTTTATGATCCCTCACTCTAATTTCTTACCTAGCAGAGTTGGTCCCTCCCTTTGTAATTTTCCCCGCTTGGTCACAGCGGCGGGGTAGGGTAAGGAACATTAAGGATAATGGGCCTTAGTTAAGAGAGGAGTAAGGGGAGTTAGTTAATTGGTTAGTTGATTGGTTAAAAGGGTACACTGTTTGTACATGTTTTGGTAGGTTTCGAGTCCATTGGTGACTCAGAACCTTGGTGGTGTAGGAGTATCTGGGTATACACCTACCAGGAAATTGATCAATGTTGATATGTTACATGTTATATATTATATGATGGTTGTATATTGGAAATATATTATGTGGTGGGTCATTACCTTGATGTAAATATGGAATAGATGATGCGAGAGTTGGGGTGTGGCAGGTAATGACTATATATATATATATATATATATATATATATATATATATATATATATATATATATATATATATATATATATATTATCTTATCATTAAAGCTGTGGACAATCTAACCCATAACACTACAGTGGCGGATCCAGAGCCTGATCTCGGGAGGGGCACTTCTAGATTATTTAAATAAATAATCCAGGCACAATAACCACTACAGCTCAGTGTAGTAGTTATGGTGTCAGTAGTGCCAGGATTCCACCCCAGAGTAAGTAGTCATACTGTTTAAGAACAGTTTGACAACTTACCTGGGGTCTGCTGGGATATAGGGTATAGGAGCAGTGGTGTGTGTTAAGGGTGAAGGGTGTGAGTGCGGCAGTGTATGTCAGGGACAGTGTTTGTGGGGCAGTGTGTGTATGGGGACAGTGTTTGTGGGGCAGTGTGTGCGTATGGGGGCAGTGTGTGTATTGGGACAGTGTTTGTGGGGCAGTGTGTGTATAGGGGGCAGTGTGTGTATGGGGATAGTGTTTGTGGGGCAGTGTGTGTATGGGGACAGTGTGTGTATGGGGTCAGTGTGTGTATGTGGGGACAGTGTGTGTATGGGGGACAGCGCCTGTGGGGAAGTGTGTGTATGGGGGGCAGTGTGTGTATAAAGGTGTGTACATGGGGGACAATTGCCTAGGGGCAGTGTGTATGGGGGGCAGTGTGTGTGTATGGGGACAGTGTTTGTGGGGCAGTGTGTGTATGGGGGACAGTGTTTCAGGGGGCAGGTGTGTATGGGGGCAGTGTGTGTAATGGGGCAGTGTGTGTAATGGGGCAGTGTGTGGTAAGGGTGGGCAGTGTGTATGGGGGGCAGTGTGTGTAATGGGCAAGTGTGTAATGGGGCAGTGTGTGGTGGCTGGGGGCAGTGTGTGTAATGGGGGCAGTGTGCTGTATGGGGGGTTGGTGTGTGGTATGGGGGGCAGTGTGTGTAAATGGGGCAGTGCAGGCTTGGGGGCAGGTGTAATGGGGGCAGTGTGTGGTATGGGGGGGCAGTGTGTGTAATGGGGGGGCAGTGTGTGGTATGGGGGGGCAGTGTGTGTAATTGGGGGGGCAGTGTGTGTAATGGGGGGGAAGGAGGCTTTTAAATAATATATTTTTTTTAATTTTATTTAATAAAATAAATATCCTATGTCCCCCCTCCCTTCTTACCTTTACTGGGAGGAGGGGGGACATATTTCGATCCCTGGTGGTCCCAGTGGTGATTCATTGGTGGTCCCAGTGGTGAGAGTGAACTCTAGCCCGCGCTCCCGGCTAGAGTTCACTCTCGCGAGATTTGGAGCGTTGCCGTGGTAACCGCGGCAACGCTCCAAATCTCGAGAGAGGAGGACCCGGAGGAGCTGCAGACTGAGCTCCGGGTCCTCCCTCTCACTCCCTCCCTCCGCCGCCGGCTGTCAGCACAGTGGCTGCGGACCGGGGAGGGAGATCTCTGATCTTCCTCCCCGGTCCGCAGGCACATTGCACGGCTGGCAGTGGAGGGAGACCGGCGGATTTCTCGGGGGGGGCAATTGCCCCGTTGCCCCCCCCCTGGATCCGCCAATGTAACACTAAGTGTCAGTGTCTTATTGGATGGGTTGGGTTCAAGTCATATATCCCTCCCCTTGCCCAAATGGTAACTATGCACCTGTCAAGTTAGTGACCTTCTGCCTCATTAAAAGCACAATATCACAGTGATGTGGTCATCCTAAGTCAATTTAGGTTTCAGATACTTCATCATATTTTAAGATATTCACTTAATTTTAAACCTATTTGAATAATTTAAATAAAATGGTGTACTTTGCTTACCTTCCTTGTTCTTTTTTTTTTTTCCTTTTTTTTTTTATACATACAAATTTTGATTTTGTGACTTCCTCAAATTTATTTACGGCATTGAACATTGTGAGAACTGAATTATACAACTCTACTTTTGGATTTTCTATTGGGTTTGCCTCGTCATGAAATTCAAAATGAGAAACCTAGGGCCCCAAAAAATAAGATATTTTCAAGTTACAGATGTTTGTTTTATGAATGCTCAGATTGATAGTAATGTGTGTAAACCAAAAATCCATATTCCGTAAACATGTGCATTTAAAAGACAAAGTATGAAATGAACAAAAATTATATGTACATAAATATTTTGCAGAAATGTCAGTAAAGTGCCTTGTTAACTGGAGTAGGTGATGATTATGGTTTGTATTATTATATACATTTTTAAATACCTGGCCAATGTTTACTCTGGTAAAGCAGCACTAAGTGATCCATAAGGCATTGAAGGAAAGCAGTTCATTAGGTGTGCAGTAGGAGTGTGCTCTAAATGGCATTGAATGAAGTAGAGGTGGTTATTCAATTTTTAACATTACATTTAATTTTAAGTTCAAAAAGGTTTCTTTCTGTGCATATAAATTATGTGCTCTCACTCTGTGGGTTATAGTTGTTAAATAACATATTATACACTTTTATTTATTTATTTATTTTGTGTGTGTGTGCATAGATGAACAAAGCAGTTTACAATGCCACAATAGCATTTGCAAGCACAGTAATATCATAGCATTTCACAAACATGGCGATTGAGTTATAGCACATTTTTAAGTATAGAGAGAAACAAGGGTTGCATTCACGTCTAATGGTTGTTCACTGAAGGTAAAGAAGAGCAAAACAGATAAGACGTGGTGAGTAAAAAGATAGAAAGGTGAGTAGTCAGGTTGAGTGTCATGACAGTTAACCACTGGGTTCCCGGTCCTGCAAACACTCCCTCGCTCTCCTTGATGCCCATTGACATTCATATAATCATTGATTAGTAATATTAACTAACTGGATGTTGATCACATTAAAGCAAGAGTCTAAACAGTGAGGTTTAGATTCAATATTAGTGAGTCACTTGTCAAGCTTTGCACTTCATACAGTATTTGCCTGTTATGTGTGCGTTCTCCAGCCGCTGTCTGGTGCCGGTTTCAGTCGATTCCAATGGATTGTATGGTCAGTATGTTGTTGAGAGAGTCCGGGCATGCCTTCTGGGGCATAGGTAGGGGCAGTGTTGCTTGTTCCGATGGCTGGCTAGATTGTATGTCGCCGTGAGAGCTTGCTTTGATGTTGCTGGTAAGTGGGGCCCTTTTCTGCTGCTCTGGGAATTTTCTCGTGACTTTGTGGTCTCCTTTTGGCGGCCGGTATGTAACTCCGCCAGACTTATCTGCATGCTGCTCCCTCCTCCTCTGGACAGGCCGGTGCGCCCTAGGCAGGGCTCCCCTCCTCCGCAGCTCGTGGGGTCGCAAATGTGCCTTTCGGCGGTTCAAGCTGGGTGAGTGCCGGGGAGAGGGAGGTGAGTCAGGCGGCAGGTCTGCAGTGCTGGGTCTATCAACCAGCGGGTATGGTCTGCTCACTATCTTCTCCCAGAATTCCGCCAGCAGTCTGTCTATGCGGACCTCCAGTGGCTCCAGTGTGCCTCGTGTGTCGGAGGCCAGCGTGGTGTCCGCCATCTTGCCTGAGGCTGCTTCGTGCCGAGTTTCCCCTCTGGTGGTGGGAGAGTGCCGGGATACCTCACCGGCAGGGGGGGGAATCCCCATCCCCTCCAGGTACTCCAACAGCATGGTCCACGGGGAGATCGGCTGCTTCTCCCTTCAGTACCCGCAGGTAGGCCGCAATGAGGCTCTGGGTGTAGGCTGCCAGTCCGTCACCACCACACTCCAAGATGTCGCCCTCAGGTGTGCAGGTTGGACACTGTGTCCTTAGGTGTGCGTTTATTGCATGTCAGATTGTATTTAAGTCGATTTAAGGCGATTTTCTGAGACTATCTGCGGAGCTCAGCTCGGCAGTCAAGCCCCGCCCCCCATATTATACACTCTTGTGCAGAAAACACGAGCCTAAAAACATAGTAATCTGATTATGTTCACACCTTTTGGTTCAATTCCTTTCTCTTATTTATCTCATCTGCCATTGTAGCTGAAGTTTATTTTTTTCATATCCGCTCCCCTGCCAAAAATAAATTTACACAATTAGGAAAAGGTGATTTTTTTTTTTTGATTTTTTTTTTTTTGACAAATACAATTTTTCTAAATGGTTGCTATGGATGAAAATGAAAATAGACTTTAGTGAGTATGTCCTTGAAGAGCCTGGCTGCAGTGGACAAATGTTTTGCAAGTGAGAGCAATATTTCAAATTCAATGTACTAAACTAAAATTTCTAAAGTTATAAAACATAGTTAAACAACCTTTGTCATAGTTAGTTATTTGTCTGGGAAATGTCCTGAATACATACGAGAACATACAAAAATCGCATTCTACTATTTTTCTTTTGTAGAAGTAGAAAATATACGAATGTACGAGATTATTTTGCCAAGTTAGAATAGGCTATATTATATTTAAATTTGTATGCAGTTTTAAAAACAATTAACTTAGAATGAGTGTAGAAAAGAGTGAGTTAAAGCTGAAAGTGGTGGATGTGGTCTATTAAGAAAAAGATGAGATGAAGGTGACTTGAGGTGAAATTAACATTTCACGTCACTGATTTAACTCTACATTTTGCAGGGCCAAACTGGTTGAGTTTCTTCTGCCGGAAGAGCTCAGCTGGCCATAGATAATGCTGAGTTACTTCTTTACAAACGGACTTTATAAACAATACATTATGCAGGGCCAACTCTCACCAGGTTAGCAAGTCATGAGAGTGGATATGTCCATTTTGATTCAACTACCTTTTATTGAATAGACCACAGTGCTACAGATTTGCATGTCACACTTGACACACACCTGTACCCAAGGTAAGCCTTAGGGTTGTGAAACATGTGCGATCAAAAAGATCTCATCTCACTAGCCCTCTTTGTGAGGAGGCCAGGCACCCGTTGTCTGTGTGCTGCTCAAGCGCACAGACCTCCTCTCAGGATGCCTCATGCTCCCCGCTAGAGCCTCGGGAGTCACTTGACTCCCGACACTCAGACTCATCTGAGGCGTGGGAAGCCCATAGCATATGCCAGGCGCTGGTGGCAGTTCCTGTAAGTGCTATCTGAGTGCTGAGGGCAAGTTCTTACTGCAATGCAGGTAAGTCCTGTGAATGCATTGGGTGCTGGGGTAAGTCCTATGTGTGCAATCCTGGTGCTGTAGCAAGACTAGTGGGTACAATGTAGGTGTAAAAACAAAACCGCACAAAAGACAAATATTGGTGTGGCCACCCCAAATTAGGGACAATAAAATAAACTATACATACGTTAAAATATTCCTCTTTACCAGAATGTTAGTACATCAATTCAGATAAAGATAAAATATTCTTGATATTTAATCACTTCAATTAAAACACAAACCGTGTAAAACCACAAACAAATAATAATTAAAAATAATTTTGAAAATTATTGTTTGTTTGCACCACAATCTTTTGTGCTGTTTTGTTTCTATACATCACGGTTGTCGGAGTAAACCGGTGTGTGAGTGCCGTTGGGTTACGTACTAATATCTGTTTTCTCTTTGTTGGTACAATGTGGGTGCAGGAGCAAGTCCTGTGAGTGGAATAGGTGCTCTGGCATGTTATATGGGTGCAATCAGGTGCTATGAGTGCAATGGTTAGGGGCATGGTAAGGGTATGGGGGCAATAATTAAAAGAGGGCAGGGAATATTGAGTGTAGAGGCAGGGGAAGGAAATAAGTATGAGGAATGCATTTTTTCAAAACAATTTTATTATCTGATACCTGACTGTGCATCGTCGTCCCTCATGGCATATTTTTGGCAAACTTATTCCACGGCTTTATTAAGATACAAATAACTTAATAAGGTCATTGTCAACAAACATTTAATATGACATCACCCCCAGCCACCCTTTAACATAACTATACCCCCAGACAATGACCCAATCATAATTAACAGTAATACATCCATACAACCATATAACATTTATATAAATAACATAAACTATTATCACAGCCCCCATGGGCATCCATTTCCAACTGTGGGGGCATACCAAGACACCCCTACACCCCCAGGTTCGGAGCTATAGACGAGCTTCAACCTACCAAAACAAATCCAAACATAAGTATTCCTGATGAATTTTCCTACCAAAGCTGACCTACCCCCCAATTATCCTATCCATCCCCCGCCACAGCACAGAGCTTGACCTCCTCAAGCCACCTGAGCGCCCCCACCCCGCATAAACATCACCTGTCTCAAGCCCTCCTAGAAAGCCCAAGTTGAGGAAGTCTAACCTCAGAGATGTACCCCATCACGCCTGAAATAGCCTGGTAGCATATCTTCCAACTCACGATGTCTAACCACCACCCCACCTAACCTCTTAATATAAATTGCAAATATCTTATTAAACTTATGTCTACATCTGGCAATCACTGTGGGATCCTGAGCATGACTCCAATGAAAACGCGGCACCGTTTCCGACCAAATAATCCCCACTCCTGGGAGTAACCCCCTCAACGTATCCACATCCCTCTTTATCCGTCTTATTAAACTCCCTCTGGGGCACAAGACAAAAATAGTTTCCCCAAGTGTGCAGCAATATGAAATCAGGAACCTCACCCTGACCTATACTACGAAATAACTCTGAACATATCTCTCTCCACCCAAAACACCGGAAACCAAACCAAAACAACCGTAATAAGTCCATAGGAAAGCCCAGCTGTGTGCCTTACAACCGAACTGCAGCTCTCCGTTCCGCCCAGTAGACGTAGGAGTGGCCTACCAGCCACGCGACCCCATCTGAAAAGGAAAAGAAACTATATAGCACCACCTGAAAAGACCAGAGTGTTTCCCCACCACCACCGGACCTGACTTACACCAAACGATCAGGACGGACATACGACCGGAACCTGATTGATTTCCACCTCCCGATCTTCTCAACCAGGTCTTCACCCAGGCCCAACCTTGCTGCCTCCGTGGCAGCCCCAGTCCAGAATGAATGTGTACCAAATTGTGAGAGATCCAGGCCCAGACACCCCAAACCTAACATAAAAACCCTAGCAAACTGAAATTTTGACAGGGCCGAACCCTCTGCATGTGTAAAAAAAAGGAAACTTGCACCCCTGGCTAGACCTCCAAATATCGTCTTGCACAATCCACCGGGCAAACCACCGCCCCTGGCAGCGAAAAATAATTTCACCATACAGCCCTTACCAAAGACATCAGTCTTCAAACGCCGTAAGCAAATTACTACATGATCGCCCCACATTTCCACATCTGCAAACTGGAGACCACCTTGACAGACCCGACTACCACTCATTATCTCCCTCACCTGGAATGCCCTGAAAAATGCCCACACAAAAACAACCGAAAACAACAATACCTCATATGGTGAAAAACAAAGACCCTGGAAAACCCCAAACAGCCGTTGAAGCAACTCAAAAAACACTGTCTCCTAGTGTCAGGGGCTGTCTTACTCATGCGAAAACCCTTCGCCGCTTGCCAGACAAAAAAAATGCTTTGTCAAGTTGTCCCATCCATTTAGTTTGAAGAGAAAAGCCAAGGCCGCTAAATTCCGGTCAACCACCGACGGAGAAGCCCCTGACGCAAACAAGCGACAAAGAAACCATAAGAGATCATCGAGACGTACCTCTGAGGAGCAACGCTCCCAAGTACAGCCCAATGCTTTGTCCCAAACGTCCTTAAACTCTACTGTAAGCTGCCCATGTACCTGGAACCAATGAATCCCTTATCAGTCCTCCAAGCAAGAAGTCCGGAGCTGCCACATGTTGTCCGAACAGGACAGACCCTCCTCTTTTGCGCCCAGAGCCGCCACCCGAAACTTCGCCCAGTGAAAGCGAGAAAATGAGTCAGCGATTACATTCAAGAATCCCGGCACAAGAAGTAACTGAACCACTGGAACAGGAGAAGCTGAAAGATTATTCACCACCTCCATTACGGCCAAATTATCCGTAAAGAAAATCACCTTCCTATTACGAAAACAATGACCCCTTAAGGAGATTGCAACCACTAACGGGAACAATTCAAGGAAGGCCAAATTCCGAATGAACGCGCTCGAAGCCCAGTTCGCAGGCCACCTCTCCGCTCACCACTGCCCTGCAAAGTAGGCCCCAAAACCCACGCTTCCTGATGCGTCAGTAAACTGCTCTAAATCAGGCGATGGAACCACCCATCCCATTGATATGCCTCAGAAAGACTTCCTAGATGCCCAAATCCTCCCTCATAGGTGCCGTGACCCGGATAAAATGGTGTGGCGACCGCACCCCACAGGTAGCCTTGGCCATGAATCTGTTGAATATACTTCCCACCGGGATTATGACACACACAGTTTAGCCGACAGACTAAGGACTGCACAGTCCTCAATGTCACCTTTTTAGCCTTACGCACCTCTGCAATGACCTGACTAAGAGTAGCCAACTTATCCAATGGCAACCTGCATTCACCTGCGACCGTGTGCATTTCTTGGCCCAGAAAACTTAGGCACTTGGTAGGCCCCACCGTCTTGTCGCCCACCAATGGAGTTCCAAAAACATGGGCCACCCTTTCAAGACACCTTAAACCTACTTGACAAGCTTCGGAGCCGGAAGGCCCGACACACAAGAAGCCGTCCAAGTAATGGACCATAAACTTGGTACCCGCCTCCACCTTAACTACCCATTCCAGTAAGGTACTACATTTCTCAAAGTAAGCACATTAGATGGAACATCCCATGGGCAAACAGAGATCCACAAAATAGTGCCCATCGAAATAGCAGCCCGACAAATGATGACATGCTGGGTGAATAGGCAGGTGGATAAGTCGAAACGCTGATTCAATATCCGCCTTCGCCAATATCGCCCCATGTCCCGGTTCCTTTACCTAAAGTGTAGAAAAAATAATCCAGGCACTCCAAAATGTTCCAAAGCAAATAGGCAATTTTATTGGACCCAAGCACCAAAGAACAACGTTTCAACCCCTTAGGGCCTTTAGCAAGGTACTGAAACACATAACTCATAACTTATATACAATATATAGGTATACATACAAATGACAAATGAAAAAACATGTGAATTACTACAATTGATTAATTACATAGTCAATTGGTGATATTCAAAACCGTGTCAATACATAATCATCTATCCAACAGTAGTCTCATTTATTGGGGGTGTCAAGAGACTGCAAGGGAATTCAGCCAGTAGAACAAAGTTCATTAGAAGTTTGACTAATTATTTAATTGAATAAAACTATTTACACAAGACCCAGTGGTTCTAAATAAATAGAAAGCGCCAAACCTAGATAGAACACTTACATTTCCGGGTAGGATCGCGTGATTACGTATGACGCACACAACACGTCCAGATACGCCGATCACATGATCGGACTAGACCGGAAACTTGGTTAGTACGCATCTGCACACAACACGTCCAGATACGCCGATCACATGATCGGACTAGACCGGAAACTTGGTTAGTACGGATGCGTGACACGGCGCATGCGTGAACCTATTAGAATTAGATCGAAATAAATTTTAACAAAGGAACAGAAGCCCACAAGAGTCACGCACACGGAATATAACACATGCGCAACACATATCTATTCAATAAAATAACCCAATGTGAAAAATGTAAATAAAGTCCCTGACAGTTATAATTATATCAATAAGAAAAGCATTATTCAAAGACATTAACCTGAATACCATTGCAGTATGACAGCCCCAATCATGGATCATATGCACCAAGAAAATCTATAGATTTAATTATAGTAACAAATACAATGAATAATTTTGTATATACCTTGTATAATAACAAGCATTTACACATCCAAATCCTTTTAGTTACTAATGCATACTGTGAAAAATAACCTAATACATAAAATAAATAAAATAAAATCAATAAAAAAAGTTTGTGTGTATATATATGTATATATGTGTGTGTATAGTGTAAGTGAAGTGAATCATTGTGTATATAAGATACATTTAATAAAAAATTAATAGAAAAACCAAAATGATATATGTGTAAGATTTTGATATAAAGAGATCGTTTTCAATAACTGTTAATCAATATAATGTGACATATTTAAAAGGTCAAATTGCAAATATAAGAGTAAGTCCTTTTATTATTTTATACAATGTATCTATATGGAAAATACAGTACAAAAAAACAGGTAAGACTAAAGACTTTCAATTTACATAATATCCAGAGACTATCAGATAAGTAAATCCTATGAACAAAAATTCATAAAAATTGCGAGAGACAATCGTATAACATGTGCTCAATAATGTGAAATCCAGCACAACCCTCACAGATCAAAATAATCTTTAAAGATGATCTGTAAGAGACAATAATAATAAAAAAATTAATTAGAAAGTTAAAAACAAGAAAAATTAAAACTTAATTCAAATAAACGTATTGAGGTCATATGCTTGGTTAAGTCCCCTAGGTGTTAGGGAATCTAGTTCCCTAATCCAATACTCTTCTCTAAATAGTAATCTTTTTTGTCTGTCACCACGTATAGATCTTTCTTCTACATGTTCAATGATTTGAAATTTAAGTTGGGTTATATTATGTTTAGCCTCTGCAAAATGCATTGGAATAGGTCATTCTAACATTTTTGTTCTTATTGTGGACTTGTGTTTTGAAAATCTCTTTCATTTTTTGGGTTGTTTTGCCAACATAGATCAACCCACAAGGGCATTTTAGAATATACACAACATATGTAGTATCGCACATAACAAATTGTCTAATCATATATTTATTACCCTTGTAGGGATGAACAAATGTGGAACCTTTTATCATTGAATTACAACATACACAGTTGTGGCATGGAAAATTACCATTTCTTTTAGAATCTAATTTAACAGGAGTAGTAAGTTCGGCTTTAACTAGCCTATCTTTTAAAGAAGGCGGTTGTTTTGTGAACCATTAAAGAACCACTCTAGGCACCCAGACCACATCAGCTTAATTAAGTGGTCTGGGTGCCATGTTTTTTCATAAACATAGCAGTTTCAGAGAAACTGCTATGTTTATGAATGGGTTAAGCCTTCCCCTATTTCCTCTAGTGGCTGTCTCATTGACAGCCGCTAGAGGCGCTTGCGTGCTTCTCACTGTGATTTTCACAGTGAGAGCACGCTAGCGTCCATAGGAAAGCATTATGAATGCTTTCCTATGTGACCGGCTGAATGCGCGCGCAGCTCTTGCCGCGCGTGCATTCAGCCCGGAGGAAGATCGGAGGAGGAGAGCCTCGCCCAGCGCTGGAAAAAGGTAAGTTTTAACCCCTTTCCCCCTTCCAGAGCTGGGCGGGAGGGGGACCCTGAGGGTGGGGGCACCCTCAGGGCACTATAGTGCCAGGAAAACAAGTATGTTTTCCTGGCACTATAGTGGTCCTTTAAGGGTTTATTTTTAAATTCGACAATTTGTGTGACAATTAGATAGTATATGCCAATTTCTGTCTATCGTTCGTTTTAAATCAGTGGACAGTATACTATACCTGGATACAAATGTAACTCTATCTTCTATTTTAACTTTCATCAATTAATTACCATTTTGTGTCTTATCCTTATTATCCAAATATTCCAATTGGGTTTGCAAAGTGGATAAAGGATATCCACGCTCACAAAATCTCTTGGTCATTAATTGTAACTGTTGATCAACCAATTCTGTTTTGGAAACCAACCTCTTCACCCTTATAAATTGGCTCCTAGTTATAGATTTAAACATAGAAGTAGGGTGAAAGCTATCAAAATGTAGTAGCATATTCCTATCAAGGGGTTTCCTGTATATGTTGGTCTCAAATTTACCATTACTCTTATAGATTAATATATCCAAAAAAGAAATAGAATGCAAATTCATTTCCATGGTAAATTTGATACTATCAGAACAATTATTAAGAAAGTGAAAAAATTCTTCGAGGGGTTCCAATGGGCCACACCACAACGCCAACACGTCATCAATATAACGCCACCATTTTACAATATACTTTTTATACAGTTCGTTTTTATATATTACATCTTCTTCAAGTTTGGCCTTGTATATGCCGGCATATGTGGGGACAACATTAGAACCCATCGAAGCACCCTTAGTTTGGATGAAGAAATCATCGCCAAAAGAGAAATAGTTTTCTGTCATAACCAATTTGAGTAACTTTAAAGCCCAATAGTTCAAATACTTCACCCATTGCTACTATACCTTCGTCATGAGGAATAGAGGTCTACAAACTATTAACGTCGAAAGTAACTAACGTTATATTATGTTCATTTTCCACTGTTTTAATTTTGTCAAGTATTTCGAATGTATCCTTAACATAAGATTTTATTTGATTTAAAAAAGATCTCGATATCTGATCTAAGAATTTTGCAAGTGGTGAAAATAGAGACCCTATGCCTGCCACTATTGGCCTTCCAGGGGGATTAATTAAGGACTTGTGTATTTTGGGTAAAATATACAATGTAGGAATTACAGGAGAAGTTACAGTAATATATTTAAGTAACTGTCAATAATTTTATCATCAAATGCAGAATTCAAAATCATATCTATTTTCCTTTTTAAAGATGGTGTAGGATCTATAGAAGTTTTTTTGTAAGTTTCGCTATCTCCCAGCTGTCTATCAATCTCTTTGATGTAATCTACCTTGTCCAGCACAACGATAGCTCCACCCTCATTTGCTGGTTTTATTAACAGACTTTGATTTTTTTTGAAGTGTTATAAGGGCTTTTGCTTGTATTTTAGTTAAATTATTATGATGAAAATATTTCCTCTCTTTTTGTTTTTGCTGGACAAGATTATCAACATCCCTTTTGACTTATTCCACAAATGTTTCTACAGCATGATCATTAATCTGTGGATGAAATTGACTTACATTCCTAAGATTAGTATCACTTAATTTTAGATCAATACTAGGAGATTCTAATGTTGGTATAGGTTCCTTTACCAACTCAACCGCGTGGTCAAATGATGCATAGGAAACCGAACAGAGCGCCCCATCGATGTCATCGTTGACCGATGACCCCTTAGGGTACGAAAGGTGATGAATCAGGCGGGACTTCCCCACTTCCTTCTAGTGGTGAAATCCTCAAATCCGGCAGCGACGGCTCAACAAACAGCCCCGCCATCCGCCCCAAGTGAATCTCATTAAACAACTTTTCCCGTACCACCCCTGGACATTCCCCCACGTAACGCAAATTATAAAAGCAATGGACCACCATCCTCTCCCGAACAGGAATGACAAAACCCTGCATAAACCCATCCCGTCATCTTGGTTACTGTAGCTGCTTAACCACGGGAGCATCACGCCGACCCTCACCAGCGAGCGCCCCAGTGGAAGTGGATGGTACTGCGGTACCTCCAGCACTCCCCGAAGAAGCGGCTTAACCCGCTTAAAACATTGGTTAAAACCATGTGCCCCCCCCCGCACCCGGAACATTCGTGATGAAAACGGCATGTGGTGCCCCACTTACACTGGCCCTCATTAAAGAGCCAGCAATAACCCTTCCTCTGAACAGCCGACTAGGTGGAAGAAGAACCGGCGCCGGCCCCTGCTTGAAAGGGAGCTGCCTTCTGCGCCATCATCAACTTCATCCATAGGGGCAGGTCCATCTGATCCCACCGCATCCCAGGATTAGCCAACAAGCGCTGACGGAACTGCTCGTCGTACCGCCACCAAGCAAAGCCCCCATATGTGCGATACGATTCCCATACACCGTACAAATAGCAAAATGACTGAGAGCACTTCTCCGGAGCTTTTTCTCCCAAGATACTCGCCAAAACACAAAAGGCAATTCACAAATGTTTTGGGGATTTTCCTATATCGCCATCGCTTTTCCTTCTCCTCCTTTTGGAGTCCTTTTTGTCCTCCTCTTTTAAACCCAAATATTCTTCCAAGGTAAGAAGGGAGAATATCTCCACGAACTCCCCTTTCCATAATTTTTCTTTAACCTCTGACTTCAGATGGCACCCCAACGGTCCCGCAAACGACACATGCACTTTCTCTCCTAACAATACATCCCGCTCGGCTACCACTTCTGTGACCACTGATGCAGACAATGCTACTACCGCGTCGCCTGCACTGCTCCCTGCCTCTCCTGGAATACCCTGCTCGCCAGACCCCATGCCTGTAGACCCAAGAGCCCATACCCTACTAAAAGAAGCCCCTTGTTCTGAACCCACACTCCAAGACGAAATAAAATATTTTAAACCATCTAATAAGTATCCCGAGTGTGGTGCAAAATGGGACTCACCATCCAAACCCCATACTACAGCCGACCGACCCTGGGGTTGCTTCCCGAACTCCGCCGTGAGAGAGCCCTGGCGAAGCTGCATAGTGCACACCGACGTCCTGTGGCCTCCTCCGGCACACAGTCCCAAGATCCGAGGACCTGTAAACAGTAAAAGAAATCCTGGGGAGGCTGTCCTCAGAACACCCAGCCCTCCTGACCTCACCAAGTGACCCCCTTCGTGACCTGCAACTCCTGGTATCCTGACCCTTGCAGCCGTATTGACTTCCTGAGGATTATTTGCTCCGCCTTTCAGGGGAGCCCCCGCTGACTGACCTGGAAGCACTCCCCGGCGAACATGGTCCCCTAACTGGTGAGCCGTAGCTGACGACTGGCTGAAGACTCCCCACTTCTGCTACGTTGCCTGCTCTGCTGACTGCTCCTGGAGCGTTGGCGAGAAGACCTCCTGCCAACCCCGCTAGACCTGTGCTGCCCTGAGGACCTGGCATCTCTGTCCTGAGTGCGGCTATCTCTGCCCACCCGCTGGCCAGCCGTCTTAAAGCACCCTGCACCCGCGCCACTCGGTGAGGGAGCCCTGCTGTGTCCTGCTGTGACGTCGGCACCTGTCACCAGCATCCTATGCTCGGCACTCTGACCTGCCATCTGAAGCTGCTGCGCTCTGGAAGGGGATGCCTGCAGCCCATCCTCCCCCTGCCGTTTCATGCTGCTTGTCTGGGATGCATCTCCACCTACCCTCGAAACCCTCAAGGGTGCCAAGACCTCACTGCTGCCCAAGCTCCTTCTTGCTGCCATACCCTCAGCAGAGCTTGACTGGGTAAAGGGGGCCCTGCCTACCAACCTCCTTTTTTTTATTCCCCTCTGTACCCCAACAGCCCTGGGGGTCGACTCACCAGGCCTGCTCTGACCGGACGGCCGTTCTCTGGTCCCAGCAGCACCCCCAGTAGTCGAGAGGCCTGCTGCAGCCGTCATCCGCTGTACGGGCCACACTCCACAGTCACAGCTGTCGTCCACGGCGTGCGGCCGCACAGGAACTTCTCCCCCAACCTCCGCGAGCCTGGCTCTGTCCGCCACCGCTCACCATACTGCCTCCAGGCTTTCCCAATGAAGGGCTTCGTCCCCTCACCGCTCTTCTACCGTCCTCCGGGCTCAGCCGTTGCGGTGGCCTAGTGCACCACCATGCCGCTCTCTGCATCCAGGGAATCCATCTGCAATAGAAAAAAGAAAAGTCCACACCAACCTGACCGCAACAGCTACAAGAAGGTAAGAATTTAAATTTAAAATGGATAGCAACGAATACAACAAAAAAATGAACAGGGAGCAACACACACACACACATACACATACAGACAGACCTACTACAAGACAAGAGAAATGAATATGGGCAGAACAAAAACGGTAAGAGGCCTAAAACACACACGGAAGGAAGCAAGGCACGTACACTGAACTTACACACACTGAGCTAGACAAAATCAACTAAAGAACATAACATAAAGCAAGAACCACCTAGCTCGCCGCACTAGTCAGAATACCTCTACCTACTAAGCGAAGGCTGGAAAGACTGGAGGAGAAAATAGGGATGAGGGCCTACAGCACCACTGTTGGGCAGGATTAAACATAAACATGCCCTGACACTTAGCTAGGAGTTACAGAACGCATCCAACCCCAATTGGATAATCATTGACTTCCCACAAAACGCACAGACCATAATCACGAATGGACAGCCCAAGCTTTGTTTAACCGACACAATATGAGTAACACTGAGCGCACAAGTAACCAGTTGGGGAACACCAAGCCAGCTCTAGCGGCGAACCCAGTACAAAAAACACCAATCAGATAAATCCCGGAAACCACACGCGCTAGGCATAAGCCTACAGAACTAGTCTGTAGTGACAACTCCAACACCGACCTCATTACACACTACGACTCATGTGAAGTGTCCGGTATTTGTGAATATGTCTATTGATGTAGGAATGAAGTTGTAAATTGAAAATACACATATGCATTCTTACCACTAACCCTCCCATCCCCTCTTGATCTTTGTAACATATTCTACACACTCAATAGTGGGAGCACCACAAGGGACCTGTGAGTCCGTCAACCTTGCTGGCCCGTGAGCTCAGATAACTATGTACATCACCTGTGTTTAACTTTTGACTACACCTTTTACTTGTTCTTGAATTGCAAAAAAAAATTGGGGGAGATCTGCGAATCTCACCGATGTATAAATACTGCATAAACAAATAAAACTCTGATTTACAAAAAAATTAAAATGGATCCTCACTTAAAATGTCCGTTATTTAATCCTCCACTCATAAACCCCCTTTCTATATGCCTGCCTCCTAGCTCTGTCAGGGCCCATTCCACCTACCTTTGCTGCTCCATGGGCTTCATTACTGTGACTGGCGATGAGGTGGCACCACAGGGGTGCCCAGCACTGGCTGTCTGAACACCAAAGGCCAGCTCTGCCTGTCCCAGCCCTCTAAGAGTTGCTTAATGCAACTCCCATCATGCTGGGTAAACATTTTGAAAAAAAAAGAAAATTATCTATATATTATGTTACCAGAATTGCAGAAAATACATGAATGTATATAAAAAAAAAAATTAGGTTTTCAATTCTTTGCTGTGGTTTATTCATGACATCACCTATAGCTTGATATGCATATTACAGATGTCTCATTAAGCATATTTTATGTGCCTATAAAGCCACAGGTCATGCATAAAAAAGAAAATAGGTAGACAGTTTTAACACATTGTTTCTTATATTATGCATTTACAATCATTTATTCCTAATCTGGACTGGCACTGCGTGGGTATGTTTGTTATGTGTATCATGGTGCGTCCATGCAAAACAATGTCCACAATACACTCAAATCACAAAAAAACACCTTTGTAGGACTGAAAAAATAAAAACAATTATTTTTATTATTAAAAGAATAAGAAAATTTTTTTTTTATTACCTTCTATCTTCCAGATAGTATGCTGCACTCAAGCTGTAGAGATGGAGGGAAGAGGTGGATCTTCCCTTTAGTTTCCAGAAACTTCCACAAACATGCAGTTGAGCATTCATTGAGCACATGCACTTCATACAAACTGGATTAACCTGTAGCAAATTTATTTTAACCCCTTAAGGACAGCTTCAGAAGCTTGTTTTACACTTCAAACACAATTTTCATCTCTCTCAATTATTGTACCAACACATATTATATACCTTTTTTAGAGGGCAAACAGAGCTTTAATTTGATGTCACATATACATAGATACATTCTCATTAATTATAAATAAAATGCCAAACAATTGGGGGGGGTGGAATAATTTTTTTTCCACAGTTTTGGCAATAATAGCGTGTGCATATGTCCAGCTTAGAAAAAGTAATTCAAAATAAATTCATTTATGTGTCTTGATTTATAGAGTACATAATATGTATAGGATTTCAGCTTATTTTAAAAAGTTACAGGTCCCAAAATACAAGGACTTAAGGGTTATAACGCATAAGCAAGACTGTACAATACCCATTGATTACACCATATCTCAATACATCTATTACATCCCCTTCTAGCATTATGGATGTGGTCTAACCCACATTGATGTATTGTTACAACTTTGCAACAAAAAAAATAAATAAAAAAAAATTAAAAAATACAAGGACTTAAATAAAATTTCCATTTGCAAAAATTTTAGAAGTTGGTATGTTTGTCTTGTAGGTAGTAGCCATCACAGAAAAAAAAAATTGCCACACAAAAGTATATACTTATATAAAGTAGAAATCACAAGCTATTTACCTATGCTTAGTTTGACACTTTTTGCGTAGCCATTTCATTGCCAACCTCTGCTAAATATTGGAGTAAAATTGTGTTTTGTTTTTTTTCTTTATTTTGACATATACACATATAACAAGGTTTTTGTAATGTGTATTTCGTAAACCTGGTGTGTGCTATTCCTGCACAGAACCCATATAGTGTTACCTGCAGGTACCTATGAGTTTAACCCCTTACCGCCGGATGACAGACCCAGTCCGACATGCGCTAAAGTTAACCCCAGATCACGGCGATCACGGGGTTAACGCTCCTCGGGTCTGCCTCTGTATATGAGGCAGACCGGGAGCACCTGATCGTGCTGTCCCTGCAGCAGTGATCGCTCTGACAGGCTGTCAGAGCAAGCACATGTGCTGCAGGGACTTCTGATCCCCCTCCCTGCTCTTCCACATCCAGTGTGAAATGCAGGTGTTATGGGCAAATGCAAATATTACAAGTTTTAGAATGAAATGTTGTATTTCTTAAACTGTGTACTTTGTCTTTAAGAGATATTGCAAATTGACAAGGTGTTAGAAATGGAACATATTGTTAATCATAACTGTTTCTTTAAGCAATAACCTCAGTGCATATTATGTTATGCCATTTTGTACCAGACGAATTACAATAACAATAATACATAAACAAGCTTCAAGGCTATACTACGACTCTTTCAGTACGTAATATACTGTAGTAACCTTAGTAGATAAGGATGTTCAGACTTTAAGATGCCATCTTGAACTAAGTCAGGAAAATTTCCATGACGTATGCACCCTTTAGTGATGGACTTGTATTTTTGCCAAGTTAAGGGAGGTCCTAAAATGAATAAAGTTAAAAGAAGTGTTACTTTTTCATATATGAACTACGGTAACCCTAAAATGGAGACACCTAAGGTATAACTAGGTGTACTTTTAAATGTTAAGACACAGAGGAGAGACTTGGAGACAGACGCTGCTCCATCTTTAAATGACAGAGAGGCTGACATGATGAAATGTTCAGAAGGGAATGTTAACCTATTAATGATATTTGCAAGCATTTAGTTTAATCTTATAAACTCTGCTATAATGGATTTTATATGTCTTTATTTATATTTTTATATAATATCAAAAAGACAAAATTTTATTGCTTCCAAGACAATCCTTATTTTATATTGTATTCTCAATTATTTATAAATGTTAAATAGAGGATCTCTTACACTAACTTTATGAAATTTTGGCTAAGATATCTGTATGGTTAGCCCTACTAAGTTCTATGCTTTAAGATATTATAGTGTAAAAAAGGGACCCAGCCACGGTTACACAGGGAGATGGATCAGCAAAAGAATAAAAAACAAAAGAAAAGTTACTTGCACACTATCTCAAATCCCAAAGCATATTTAAATAAATAGATTTTTTCGTTTCACTCCAATGGTCAGTAGGCGTAAGCCCACTTGCCTCGTCTAAACAAATATATAAAATAATACAATTCAAAGTGTACAGAGATGTTCTGCAACCCTCCCTCTATCTATAGAAATTAATAAAATTGGCAAATGGAAAAAAATTGTAGACCTGAAATGTCCCAGCTGACAGTGAAAATACAGTGAGGGAAAAAAGTATTTGATCCAATGCTGATTTGAACGTTTGTCCACTGACAAAGAAATGATTAGTCTATAATTTTAATGGTAGGTATAGTTTAACAGTGAGAGACAGAATAACAAAAAAAATCCAGAAAAACACGTCAAAAAAGATATAAATTGATTTGTATGTCAATGAGTGAAATAAGTATTTGACCCCTTCGACTTAGTACTTGGTGGCAAAACCCTTGTTGGCAATCACAGAGGTCAGACGTTTCTTGTAGCTGGCCACCAGGTTTGCACACATCTCAGGAGGGATTTTGTCTTGGTTGTGTGTTTTGGGTCATAGCCATGCTAAAAATACCCGTCCATGACCTATTTTCAATGCCCTGGCTGAGGGAAGGATGTTCTCACGCAAGATTTGACAGTACAAGGCCCTGTCTATCATCCCTTTGATGTGGTGCAGTTGTCCTGTCCCCTTAGCAGAAAAACACCCTCAAAGCATAATGTTTCCATCTCTATGTTTGATGGTGGGGATGGTGTTCCTGGGGTTAAAGGCAGCATTCCTCCTCCTCCAAACACGGCGAGTTGAGTTGATTCCAAAGAGCTCAATTTTGGTCTCATCTGACCACAACACTTTCACCCAGTTCTCCTCTGAGACTCCTCTTTTTTTAGGAGAACACCGAAAAAATGGATTCAGTCCACACTGAAATTTGGGCAATACACAACAAACCAAAGATTTCCAACATTCAAACAATATCCCACAAATCAAACAACAACTAAAAATAAACCTGAAAGAGAGGAAACAGAGCAGGAGCTAGGATCCAACAGAAAAAAATGCAAGGTTGGAGAAGTAAATTCTATTGTCAACATTTCAAAATATACTCTATCCTCCAAAGAAGAACAAGTACTAAAATATGGTCTAAAATTTGCCCCTACTCAACCTCCCAATCATTTTAACATCTTTATTGACGTACAGAAATGTATTGGTAAAATGACACTACAAAGATATTTTATTAAATAAACAAAAAAGGTACAGGAGAGTATGGACACTCCATGGCTACTCTCTGATGATATTACAATAAGAGATCTAGAAGGGATCCGTACACTTGATTACAAGATACCAAGGAGTATTCAAAAACCTCAACCCGGGTTATCCACTCAAACTTTAAACCAACCTCCACGTTTTTTCCGAGTCATGAACAAGGGGAATTCATCAGATTGTATAATGATTTGCTACTTAAAGATATAAAAAACCTATGTGCCCCATGATGGAAAGAAAAGCCCTACTAGACCTCCAAAACAATATGACTATACAAATCAGAGAAGCGGACAAAGGGGGCACTATTGTCATACAAGATAGGGATGAATACAATAGAGAAGCATATAGACTATTGGGGGATCAAGCTACATACAGAAAATTGGATGCAGATCCGACCCAAGACTTCAAGAGGAACTTGCTCACACTATTACTAGAAGCAAAGACAAAAGGGATCTTAAATCAGGAAGAATTCCAATTTTTATATCAAGAAAATCCAGGAATAGCTATATTTTAATCATTTACAAAAAAAGACTTATATCATCCTCCTGGCAGACCATCATATCAGGCATAGATTCTCTGACCCTTAATATGTCAGCATATGTGGATTTATATCTCCAAGCTATGGTAATACATGTGTATTCCTATTTGAAAGATACATCCCATCTCCTACAACTCATTCCGAATATAGAATGGACCCAAGACTGCTATCTAGTTAGTCTTGATGTAACATCATTATATACCAGTAGTCCTTACAAAATTGGAAGAGCAGCAGTTAAATATTTTTTGGATCTATTTAACGAGGTAAATAAAGACCAACAAGAATTCTTACTGGACTGTATTAGCTTTGTTTTGGAACATAACTACTTTCTCTTTGATAACCAATTTTATCTTCAACTAACGGGGACTGCTAAGGGGACAAAACTAGCACCTTCATCTGCCAATTTAACAATGGGATGGTGGGAAAGCAAATATATCTGGAACAACAACCCTTTCAAGAAACACTTGATATTTTATAAATGCTTCATCGACGATATTTTATTGGTATGGCGAGGAGACGAAAACCATCTTGTCCAGTTTATTTATCACACTAACTCCAACACCCTCAATTTGAAATTTACATATGAAGTGAGCAAAACAAATATATTACTTTATGGATCTAAACATATTCGTGGACAGAAATGGGCACCTACAAATAAAGAATCATCGTAAAAAAGTTGACTGTAATGGCCTTCTGGATGCTAGAAGTGCTCATCACCAAGGATGGATGCAAAATATCCTAAAGAGTCAATACATGAGTATTAAAATAAATTGCAACCAGATTGGTGCAAAAACATTATAACTACAAACATCTGGCAAACATCTGTGATGAAGTTCGAAATATGAATAGAGAGAACTTAATTTCTAAAAAACCACTTAGGAACAAAGAAACCACATTTGAAAGAACAACAACTAAACCTATTCCAACGTTTGTAACTACTTACAACTCAGCGGCAATAGAAATCAAGAAAATCATGTGGAAACATTGGCCAATTATAGCCCAGGACAACTTTATGAATGTAGAAGATGACAAAACTTGAAAAAAAGCATACTCTGCATACCTTAGGTGTTAAAATCACTGCTGCAAATCTCATAACGACGTAACTTTCATTACGTGAATAGGCATCCTTTGACTTGATGTTCAGTTCTTGTTACATTTCGTTACTCTGATTTATTTACTTGCAACAGTAGCGGGTGGCTTAGTGTCAGAGCAGTCTTATTTAAGGGGTGGCCACGAAGGCACATTAGACTCTCACAGATATTGGAGTTAGTTAACTTGCCTTAACTCTGACTTATGTTTAACAGTGTTTAAATGATATTATACCTACTTGCTCACCGACAATTTACAATGACTCACTGTTGCCTTGCTGCCACATTACCTATTATTTAATACAAGAAGGACTGAATATTTTGTTCTATTCAATTTTAGCTTAGTTTCAATCTTAACAAATGACATTAAAACTGAAGTTTTAACCCTGGCACTAACTTCAATAACGTCCAAATCAAGATACACTTGCTGGTAGATTTTGTTTTTTTTTCTTTATTTTTTCCAAGTTAGGTTCACTATTTAGGGGTTATCCCCCGTTTTCTCTTGATACTATCATCCTTGTGTCTTCTCTGTACCCTATACGCTCTGTTTTTTCTAAGTAATTAGAAGATGACAAAAAAAACAAGAATTGTATTCAGGAAGAATGAGACATTTAAAAATATTATTGCTCCAAGTATGACAAGAAAGAAGAAGAACAAGACCGGCATTTTGTCATTAAAAGGAATATATAGATGTGGAAGAAAAAACTGCATTACCTGCCCATTTATTAAATCAAAGGACAATAAATACTTTTCGTCTGAACATAATAATGAAGACAAAAAATATGATATAGAAAGATTAATTAACTGCTACACATCCTATGTTCTTTATCTTATAGAATGCCCATGTGGTAAACAATATATTGGCCGTACATGCAGAAAACTAAAAACAACAAACGGTGAGCATGTAAGAGCCATAAGGAAAAAATGTACTAATCACGGAGATAGACTTACAATTTTAAGACAGAGAGAGTCATATTGGATCTTCAAGATGGGCACTTTGTACAATGGTGGACTAAATAAAGATTTAGACTTAGCTGCTTTCTGATTAGTGGTGCTTTTTATTCCCCAGTTTATAAAAGGATACTTGTCATTAACTTAAGAGAAATATATGAATACACAAACTACAGCACTTTTCATGTGTAGTTCAAGTATTTTTAAAATATTTTTAAGTATTTCTCATATTTCCATTCTATATATTCTGGTGTGTGTGTGTGTGTGTGTGTGTATGTATGTATGTGTATATATATTGTGTATATGTATGCTCTTTTTTTATACACTCTCTAAAATATGCATATAGATATGTATGTATTTTCCTATATACATATATATATATATATATATATCTTTTGTATAGTATATTTATACGTATTTTCTAGACATGTGTAATTCATTTAGTACCGAATGTAAATTCGGACGAATTTCGGCAATTCAGACATTCCGTTGCTTCCGAATGTCTGAAGTGCCGACGTTTAGGAGATCGGAAGTGCCGAAGTTCCAAAGTGCTTCGGAATTCTGGAGAAGTGGCAAAACAAGGGAGGGAAAATTACGTGAGAAAAGTGATGTGTGGCCTACTCTCTCTCTCTGTTAGCCCAGGAGCTACTCTCTTGACCCCCAACCACTGTCCAGAGTGAACGTGTTTTTTCTGTTACCGTAAACATACTTTGCCCTCAGCACTCCCAACTGGCACTGCAGCTCATGGAGCAAATGGCTTTCCTAAACATCAATCTGCTCAAGTTGGGTTACCCCGCTCTTAGCTTTGACAGAGATTAAACTACTTCGTCCATACCCTCCTTCTGTTTTTCTCTATTTTGTCATTATTCTATACTCCCACGTTAAGCCCGGCCACTCTAAGGACCGGTAATACGTTTACTATCTTTCCTTACTAGATATCTGTGTCTCAGGTTTGCGTGTTGGGATATACCTTCCTTGAAAGTGTTTTTTCTTTTGTTTAATAGTTAACTCCGCCCCACTTTATGACGTACTCCTTATTGATTGGCCACACAACACGTGGCTAATCTATTATGCACCCAACGACTACTATGATTGGTCCAACTATTATTCTATCTCCACACGGGCTCCTATTTAAATCCTTCTAGGATTCAGTCACTTGTTTTTCCCTGAGGAAGGCGTCATGTTAGTGCTGAAACACGCTTTGGGTTTTGGGCTTTAAGTGTTTTTTTACTCACTTAACTCACTATGGGACGGATGTTTGTTTGTTTACCTTCATTTATTGATATCATTTTTTTTTACGTGTATCCTACCAGCCAGTTGGTAAAAAAAAAAAAAACATTCAGAGAGGCAGTATCCATTCCACACCCACTACTTAATAATATAAAATTGTTTTTCTTCTTCTGAGTTCTGAACAAAATTTAATATCTCATAGCTCTTAAGAAATAGTGTGCTGTGTTGTGTGATAGTTTACCAACTCCTCGTTGATGTTTTCTGGGTGGAACAGCTCCGTACTCACTTGAAATATGAGATTTAGCTCCCGAAGATGGACAACTCACGTAGGTGCCATAACTGAGCCAGAAACAGGAGGATTCCCTGATCGATATTTGGTTGGTAAGTAATGGTATTTCAACACGTCAGGCCATGACATTCCATCACCTGCACTCTTAACACTCCCATCACTACTCACATGCAGTTACACACCCAGTAAGCTTGATCCCAAACACACCTGTGCAATTCACCATTGCTGTGGATAAGATATAACATAATTCTAACACTAAATAAGTTATACATGCACACAGCAGGCACAATTTCTGTAATTTTATGTCCAATATACATGCTGCACTGCTACTTGCTTTTACTTGTGCACAACTTTCACTGAACTGCTTCCCATCGCTATAAAGTTGTAGAGGAAAGTGTACTTCAAATTCACACTATAAACTGACATGACAATCCTCAGCACTCCTCCCATATTTTAACAGCAATTCCTATCTCCTCCAACAGGTGACACAAGACATGGATTTAGGGCCTGGCTGCTTACATGTCATACAGCATCTTTGTCTTACTGAGCAAGCCTACAATGAGACCCACCTGAGGACCTGGTCCATAATAAATGGTACATCTAGATCACTGTTGTTTGACCGTCTTATACTCCCCTCAAAAGGTCGCTGGTATTGTCATTGACTGCTGTTGCCAACATAATCTGGTGCATCAGGGAATTCATGCAGAATCATACATGAAGACTTCTAAGGTAAATAACACCTTTTTTGATCATATATATTATATACTAGTGGTTAAGCGCGTGTACATGGGCCACAGACAGGCCTCTGCCCCCTCTCCCTCCATGTCCCCCCTTTTCTCTCTCCCTTCATTTTCCTCCCCTTTTCTCTCCCTCCATGTCCCCCATTCTCTCCCTCTCCATGACCCCCTCCTTTTCTCTGTCTTACCCCCTCACTTTGTGATCTTTACACAATATATTTATGACCGTCTGCAAGAATAGTTCCTATTTTCTAACAAACCTGTGTCTTATCTGCACCATGTCGCTTTAACTCCTGTATCACAATTCAGCTTTGAATTCTATGTGTCGTCTTCCTCAGAAATGCTTTAGACTTGAGAAAGGAGGTTCTCCCGAAAGCTTTTCATTAAAAAATTCTGATAGTCCAATAAAAAAAGTATTACAAGATACAAATGTTATGTTTTTTACATCTACATCACTGGACTAATATGGCTACAATTTCTACTTTAATACTTTAAAGGGACACTAGAGCCACCAGAACAACTACAGCTTAAGGTAGTTGTTCTGGTGAGTGTAATACCTCCCTTCAGGCATTTTCATGTAAACACTGCCTTTTCAGATAAAAAGCAGTGTTCACATTGCCCCTAGGGACACCTCCAAGTGGCCACTCCTTAGATGGCCACTGGAGGGGCTTCCTGGCTCAGGGCTGTACAGTAAGCAGCCCTGCCGTTCAGCATCTCCACACTCTGCATGGGACGCTGAATTTTCCTCATATAGATGCATTGATTTAATGCATCTATGAGAAGGTGCTGATTGGCCAAAACAGCACTTCTGGCCAATCAGCACCTCCTCATAGATGCATTAAATCAATGGTCCTCCACTACTGGTGGCCTACGAACCCTGAAATTTGAAAAGACCAATGGATATAAGTTAGTGCTATACCGAAATATGAAACAAAAAAAGAAATAAACACCACACCTGATTAAAAACACACCCCGTAATAAAAAGATGGATAACCACAAAGACAGACACAAACCACACCCACAGGTACCACTAGGAACACCTCATCATTCAATAAAACCGACCCACACTCATAGAAGTGTAAACTCTAGTATCGATGGCGGTTAACGGAACAGGACTCAAGAAGGACATGCTTAACTCAAATAGACCCGAGAGTCTAACGCACGCTATGTAAACATCCTGAGTGTTCCTATCATTTGCAGAGGCCTGCGAGCCTCACTGTTTGAAATGTTCAAATGTTATACACTAATGTTGTATTGAAAAATATCATCACAAAAAAACAATAAAAATCATATTTACCAAAATCAATGGTCCTCGTCTCCGCCGGTGGCTTCCTTCTCTGGTCCCTGGCGGAATCATCGGGGATGGTCCTAGCGGGGTAGAGGATACTGGTTCGGACTCTGATGATCCAGACAATGGAGCACCGCAATGCACTATTTCATCAATAATGGAAAGTCTCATGTGCTCCATCGCCTGGCGCTGCTCCATGCTGACCCGGGACACCACATGGTCCATTTGTGTTGTCAAGTTAAGACTCGTGCGGTTGATGGCCCGGGTCCGCCTCCTTTTGGCCAAACTATATCCTCCATCAGTTCCTCGGTGTGATGGGTGGCTCTTGTGCAGCCACACTGTTGGCAGTCTCAAAGACGGAGCCAGGGCCCATGTCCTCCTCCAGGGAGCAGGCAATTGATTCTGTGGACAGCGCTGCCTCAATCACACTGTCCTCATGTGACGGGAGGACAGGTAAATGAAGCAAGCTATCCTCATCGCCTCTCCCAACAGACTGCATTAGACCTGAAATAGGCAATGTTAGTAACAATTTATATCTAAGGAGGATTTATAGCAATGTTAATCAATTCTAATTGTGCTACCAGTTAAAGGAACACTATAGCGTTAGGAATACATATATGTATTCCTAACGCTAAAGAGCTCTAGTCACAGTTTATACATTAACCATTTATTTGCTTACCTTAATCCAGTGCCGGGCTCCTTCGGCACTGGTGACCTATCCTCCATCGAAGTCAGCTTCCGAGTGGAGCCGAATGCGCATGTGCGGCCAGAGGCGCATGCGCATTCAAACACGCCCATAGGAAAGCATTACTCAATACTTTACTATGGGGTTAATTTTTGACACTTGACTCCGTGAGGACGTCCAGCGTCAAAAAAGTGCGATTTACTCTGTGTAAATTGCGGAAGTGGCCTCTGGTTGCTGTCAGGGAGAAAGGACCACTATAGGCACCCAGACCACTTCAGCTTAATGAAGTGGTCTGGGTGCCAGGTCCAGCTACGTTTAACCCTTTTGAATGTGAACGAAACTGCTATGTTTACTTTAGGGTTAATCCAGCCTCTAGTGGCTGTCTCATTGACAGCTGCTAGAGGCGCTTCTCACTGTGTGATTTTTCACAGTGAGAAGACGCCAGCGTCCATAGGAAAGCCACGCGCGCATTCAGCCAGGGATGTCAGAAGAGGGAGGAGAGTCCCCAGGTAAGGGATTGACCCCTTCCTGGCACTATAGTGGTCCTTTAAGCCTGCAGTGTAAACATAGCAGTTTCTATGAAACTTCTATGTTTTCAGCTGCATGGTTAAAACTAGGGGGACCTGAAGTGGTCTGGGTGCCTACAGTGGTCCTTTTAGGAGATTAAAATTGTATCTAGTTAAAAAGATACAGTAACCCTGCTGTATACTATGTATGTATGCACTTGTATGATATTTTCTGTATATACAAGCACAACATTAATGCATTTATAATTGTAATTTAAATCAGAATTGAACTGTGATCTTAGTACTACCCGAGAATGGATAATTGTCTGATAACTAGTGTTAGAGCTGATTGAGAGTTGATGTGTGTGTGTGTGTGTGTGAATTTGAAGATGGATTGTTAACGACTTTAAAGTGTTTTATATGGTAAGCACTCATCATTATATGTAATGCATAGGTAATGATGGCGTGTCATGTTTAGATGCAGTTTCTACTTACATGGAGGAGAAATGGGCCCAGGTCGTCTTATCAGAGGATGTCCCTTGTGGGATATGGAAGTCTGTTAAAGATGGATGAAAAGTACACATAAGTTTTTAAGGTAGACAATAATTATGGTAAAATACATTTTTTGAAAAAGGCACATTTTTCTGATTACATATTTAAAAATTAAAAAGTGCGTTAAGGTGGCTGAATGTGAAAGGGAACTGCAAGATCTAGACTAAAGTAGCAGATACGGTAAAAAAGTGGAATTGGAGAATATTTTTAAGCTGTTTTGGCCTAGATGTTTAATTTCCTTGCAAATTCACCCCAAATCACATGTTTTGAAGTAGAATGTTATAAAGGGACACTATAGTCACCCAGACCACTTCTTTAAGATGAAAGCATGTGGTCCTGCAGGTTTAACCATGCATTGTAAAACATGTCAGCTTGAGAAACTCCTTCAGCAGCTTTCCAACTTTGTCACGTGACTGCAGCCCCTATATTAAATATTTTTTTTGCATGCACATCAGGTATCCAATACTCCTCTATGAGTATCGGGGCAGGCAGGGAGATGACCTTAGCAATAGGTGATTTAGTGTTCTTTTAAGTGTTCTGTACAGGACTTATTATTGATCTTGCGAAGATTTGCGGCTGTTAAAATCGCTACTATTCAGTATGCTGATGTCACTCTCCGCCTCTTAAGGCTACTTATTCTGAAGGAAATGTCTCTAGCATTTTTTGATAGTAAAGTTTAAAAATCTAAATCAGCATTACAATAGTAGTTTTTTATATGCCATTTTGGGATTTCAGCAGATATTTGACCTTTTGTGAGTAAATCTTAGACTAATCTGGCTATTGAATTGTCTACTGGAGGTAAAGGGAGCCTTGGGAGTGAAGTGAAAAAAAACCTCTATCAGTGATTTAAGCAAATTCTGCATAGATTGGCTGGATTATCAAGAATGGCATTGGTTAAAGGGTTAATCCAACCATCATGACAACTTCAGTGATTTGAATTGGTCATGGTGTCTGGAGTCTGCATGTGCAGTCTCTCGCTGGGAAGCGCTGCACATACAGAGATTAAGCCATTTACTCCCAAAGGTGTACCTCTACCTCTGGCAACGTTCACTAGTGTGCCATTGGCTTGCTAATGGCAGTCCTGTGCAACTTTCCTTGCACTGGGTGCCATTCATTGGCTGAGAACTGTCCGCTGAATCTGATGCTCTCAGCCAGTGAATAGCCAGCAGGATTTGCATCCAGCTTCTGCTGCTGTGCATATGCCAGATGTCAAATCCTGCTTCACAGCAGAACAGGTTCCCAGCAAGAGGGTCAGGGTACTCTTGGCACCAGTTACGCTTTATAATAAGTAATGCTTTATGTATGAGTTTGTCCTCTTTTTTTTCATTTTATAAAAAGTGCAGATTTTATTAGAAATTTTCACTTTTTATAAATTAACTTGGTAACACCCCCTAGCTTTCAAGCAGATAACCGGTCAATTTACTTCTGGATTTGGTTAGCTCTGTTGAGCTAAACTCCATAGGCAGTCAATTGCCCAGAGCACCTGCCTTGCAAAAACTTCTTATTCAGCTGCATTGGAAAGTCTGTGTGGGGTTAGAAGGGGAGGGCTTGCAAATCTAATCTAACAGCTTGCCGGTTCTGCAAGCTTTTAGATATAGCCCCAATGAAAAAATGCATTATTAAATGGATGCATGTTTTCATTGGGGGTACATCTTCTAAACAGTGATTTTTATTTGTTTTTTATTTTATTTAGGCAGTGGAGTGTCCTTTTAATGCTGAATAAATGCTGTTCATTATTTATTTACCCTTTGTGTTTGTGTACTTACCAGAACTTGGCTGAGATGTGCCTGGAGCCGATCCCACGCCAGATGAGATTGATGGACCTTGGAGGAAAAAAAAGAAAGCAAAATGTAAGTTCACACTTGTAATAGTGAAGTATAGTGAGCTTCAAAACAAAAATGTTGTTATAGTGTAATGATGAAATAAATTTTACCCACTGAGAGTCTGATTGCAAGTGTTTAAGATCAAGTTGCATGCATTAATTAGGCTAAAACAAAATTCATAATACAAATCAGATTGACCAGCTTTGAGAGAGAGAGAGAGAGAGAGAGGGAAAAAAAGTGAGGGGATGAAAGACACAGGGTATTAACAGAAATCTGCATGGAGAACATTTGTCATGTCAACTGTGAATAGTTAAAAATTAAATAAGGTAGGCACACCCAATATGAAATATACGCAAGCTCCCAAGTGGAGCGCTTTGAAAATACAATATGGGGTGCTCACTCACATGAGACTCTATCCCCAAAAGCCCACATACATGTAAATAACAATAGAGTAAGGAGCACAACCATCAATAATAATAAAACAATCTTTATAAAGTGGGTACACTCTATAAGAATATCACATAACATAAGGATCCAAAATATAGGATCATATCACGCTATACAGCAATGATCAGAAGAATTCTGAATATATATGTATAAATGCCAAATGTGTCTTCTATGAATAGCAGAATCTCAGTATACAAAAATAGAGAAATGAGATACCAGTCTAATCCAACCCCACAAACTCAAATATATGTACAAAAAAAAATATAGCATTAAGCATACCAGACCTAGTGAGAAGCAGGGACAAAGTCAGTCACCAAAACACCCCCAACGTCTCGGCAAAAATGCCTTTATCCAGGGAGCGACTGTGGATACAGTTTTCTAGGATGTGAAGTTTTTGGCACTTTTTTTTTGGGATCGTTCAGTACCCAGAGGGAGAGAAAAATATGGGTGGTCAAGCTAATATGCCAATATAAAGGGACAATATAGACAACATATAAAAGCAAGAAAGACAGGTCCCTCAGCCTTCTTTCTTGCTTTTATATGAACTTGCCGTTATTAAAAAGTGCTTGAATTTATTTATTTTTAATAAAACTTACCTCCGTTCGAGCGCCGAGCTCCCCGCCAGGCTATGCCCCCCTTTTTGTCAAAATGATGAAATCGCAGGACCCAATAGGACGCTTCTCTTTGAGAAGCGTCATCGCAATGTGGTGCGCATGCGCGACTTCGCACTGCACCAATCGCGTTCTTCATAGAGCAGCACTGAATGCCGCCCTATGAAGAAACTCAGCGCTCAACCGCGCATGTGCGCGGAATGCGCGTTCGCGAGCTGAGCTGTCTGACTGACAGCTCAGCTCGCTTTCTATACCAGCCCCCCTTTCTCAGCCAAAATTTGTGTGTTTGTATACAAACACTACATATTGAGATATCTCTATATATAGTGTTTCTATGCAAACACACAAGTAGTAAAAAAATGTAAGACATATACACACACACACACTCTCTCCATCCATCCCTATCCATCCATCCATCCCTTTCCATCTATCCATCCCTAACCATCCATCCCTATCCATCCATCTATCCATACCTAACCATCCATCCATCCCTATCCATCTTTTTTTATTTATCTATTTCTATCTATATCTATCTATCTATCTATTTCTTTCTATCTTTCTATATCTATCTGTTTCTATCTTTATCTATCTATATCTTTATCTATATCTATGTATCTATTTCTGTCTATCTATTTCTTTCTATCTATAGCTATGTATCTCTCTTTGTCTATTTATTTCTATCTATATCTATTTCTAACTATCTATTTCTATTTATTTATCTATCTCCCTCTCGCTCCCTCCCTCCCACTCTTTCACTCCCTCTCACTCTCTCACCCTCAGTCACCCACCCACCCACACTCACTCAATCACCCACACTCACTCAATAAGTTTACTTACAGTTTGAATCCTCCCCTCCTGCTCGGTCTCCTCTTCATCCTGTCAGCTCCTCCAGCCTGTCAACTCTCAATCCCACGTGACAGCCTGCAGACAGAATGCTCGTGCACAGTCAGAGCTGCCCTGTGTTCTGCTGACAGCAGATCTGAGTGGATTGAGGAGTTTTATGCCTCAATCAACTCGGAAGTCCCTCTGGTGGCATTCTGAGTGACTGCAACTGGAGGTGTTCCTAGCTTTCAATGTAAACACTGTATTTTCTGAGAAAATACAGTGTTTACAAGAGAAAGGCTTCAGGGAGCTATAGATCTCACCTGAACAACCTCACTAAGCTGAAGTTGTTCAGGTGAGTATAGTGTCCCTTTAAGGCCTTAAGAGAGACAGTGAATTTATTTCACAATATAACTTTACCTATTAATAATCTATCGCTTCTCGGCCTTTTGGCTAAGATCAAGTGTAGTACCTATTAATAATCTTTCTACAAGCCCTGGATTACTGCCGTGAACTTATTTCAAATGGCAAATATTTGACACCTTCATATATCTGGCATGTGTCTAAGTGTTTTATTGCCCCCCTAACCAGGGAGTGGAGTGATCAGGGATGCTCTCACCAAACTGATTGTATCTGTTGGATCTCTGTAGAACTGGCTAATTTACTGCCTAGAACATTCTTTAATACCCTGTGTCTTACATACCTCACCCCCCCCCCCTTTTTTTTTTCTCTGTACAAGGTGTTAACTCTGATTTGTCATTAGGAATTGTGTTTTAGTTGTAAAATTTTAACTCTACTTGTTTCCTGTTTTTCCATGGCTAACACAGTACAATTTAACTATTTTACTCACCAGCTCGCTGCTGCACTGCTGGCTCTTCTGTATCTGCAGCACCAAGTCTGTGGACAGCCTCTGAAAGGAGCCCGTCTTTAAACCGAGTCTGCCACTCACTGAATCCCACAGTGGACTGCGACATTTTCCTTTTCACCGCCGCCTTGCAATCATAGTACCTGTTTAAAAACGCATTCGTTAATTTATTAAGTACATAAGAAATTGACAAAAAGTTAACAATAATATTGTCTTATTAAAAATATGATGGCTTGCTTCCACTATTAGGTTAGCCTCGACACTGACTGGGGAGTATAAGATTTTAAACATTACATTTAAAATGTAATTTGCTTATTAGCTTGTAATTGCTAGTTACATGATAAGAAGTTACTATTTTATGTATATATACAAATAAATTACATATTACAATATTTGCATTTATTATTGTCTGCTGTTAATGTGATAAGTTAATAAATATTTTTTGGAACAAGTAATAAATTGTGTGCTTATGTTTTTTACATTTAAGAGAGTCTAATGACTAAAAAGGAAATAAAGGTGAATTTGCAATAAAATTTCTATTCAGCTCTTCATCCAGAAAAGCTACTTTGACCTAGTTGTTATAATTCCGCTGCAAATTCAACTACATTTTTATAGGTGACTATATAAAGAATAATGTTGTGATATATTATTTATCTGTGCCTCACACAGCCGATAGACATGCACACCTCTCCAACAGCATTTACTGCGTCCCTTATCCTGGCCCAGGCAGCCTTCTTCCCCGATGATCTGGTCGAAGAAAAGAGTATTCCTTTTTCCTTGATGATGGCAACCACCAGCACACAGTTTTCAGCATTGCTAAAAGGGGGGCCCTATTATCTTTCTCCAAGGGGGGCCTCCTCAGATGAAGAGTCTGTACTACTACAGGTGAGGAGTCTCCCGGGCAAATCCTCCCCAACTCCCTTCCTTCTACCCTCCTCCCTGGGAGCCCCTTCCCTGCCCCTAGAACGCAAACCTTCCCTCCCACCACCCTGCCTGGGAAAATCCTCCCCAATTCCCCCACCCCTCCCTGCCCCTAGAATTCCTATCTTCCCTCACACCATCCTCCCTGTCCCTAGAACGCCTATATTCCCTTGCACCACCCTCCCTGCCCCTAAAACGCTTAGCTTCCCTCTAACCACCCTCCCTGCCCCTAGAACGCCTACGTTTCCTCCCACCACCTTTCCTAGGCAACTACCCCACTACCACCACTCTCCCTGGGGGACCCTACACTGCGCTCCCTGCCAGCCACAACTACCCCACTACCACCACCACCATAACTCTCCCTGGGGGACCCTACACTGCTCTCCCTACCAGCCACAACTACCCCACTACCACCACAACTCTCCCTGGGGGACCCTATACTGCTCTCCCTACCAGCCACAACTACCCCACTACCACCACCACAACTCTCCCTGGGGGACCCTATACTGCTCTCCCTAGTAGACATCACTTGCTCTCTCACACACTCTCACTTGCTTGTTCACACACAAATTGCTTTCTTTCTACTCTCACACTCTGCTCAGTCTCTCTCTCTCTCTCTCTCCTCAGTCTGTCTCTCAGTCTCTGCTCCTTAACTCTCCACAAAGATGGTGTCACAGGGGTGGTATTATATAGTGTGCACAATGTTGCATGCGGGTAGTGCAGCCAATCAGGAACACTATCTGTACAGTGAAAGTATCATCCATTTTGTAAATTGTATAATATATACTAAACTAACACTACTAAGTAATTATTAACTAAACCCAGACCACTTATTTAAGATTAAGTGGTCTGGGTGCTGCTGTGGTCCACTATGCAATGTAAAACCTTGCTGTTTTTTTTAATAATAATATTTAATTTTAAATCAATAAAAAGTTTAGATAATTCCAATTTAAGAATATCTACCGTATTTTCCGTCGTATGAGACGACTGGGCTTATAAGACGACCCCCAACTTTTCCAGTTAAAATATAGAGTTTGGGATATACTCGCCGTATAAGACTACCCCTCTTTCAATGCACACCAAATAAAAATTAGCCATGATGTACAGTGAGCAGACAGAGCTACACAGCAAGACATTAAAGGACCACTATAGTGCCAGGAAAACATACTCGTTTTCCTGGCACTATAGTGCCCTGAGGGTGCCCGGCTCTGGGGAGAGGAAAGGGGTAAAAACGTACCTTTTTCCAGCGCTGGGCGGGGAGCTGTCCTCCTCTCCTCCCTTTCGGCTGAATGCGCACGCGCGGCAAGAGCTGCGCGCGCATTCAGCCGGTCTCATAGGAAAGCATTCATAATGCTTTCCTATGGACGCTTGCGTCTTCTCACTGTGATTTTCACAGTGAGAATCACGCAAGCGCCTCTAGCGGCTGTCAATGAGACAGCCACTAGAGGAATTGGAGGAAGGATTAACCCATTTGTAAACATAGCAATTTCTCTGAACCTGCTATGTTTATAAAAAAATGGGTTAATCCTAGCTGGACCTAGCACCCAGACCACTTCATTAAGCTGAAGTGGTCTGGGTGCCTAGAGTGGTCCTTTAAATAATGATAATTTGAAATAGCATTTAAAGCCCAGGTATGTGCCAGGCTGTTTGGGCATATAATCCATGCCTGCTGGTCTAGCACACAGGAGGCTAATTGCGATATATTCTTTTTAATCCTCCCCCCATTCTTTTTAATCCCCCCTCCATTCTTTTTTAATCTCCCCTCCATTTTTTTTAATCCCCCTCCATTTTTTTAATCACCCCTCTATTTTTTTTACTCACCCCCCAATTTTTTTACTCCCCCCCATTCTTTTTAATCCCCCCTCCATTCTTTTTAATCCCCTCTTTTTTCTCACCCCAAATTTTTTACTCCTCCCTCTATTTTACTCCCCCACCCTCACCCTCCATTTCTTTTTCTCCCCCACCCTCCATTCTTTTTTACTCCCCCCACCCTCCATTTTATTTACTTCCCGCCACCCCGTCCATTCTTTTAGCTCCCCCCACCCTCCATTTTCTTTTACTCCCCCATCCCACCCTCCATTCTTTTTACTCCCTCCTTCTCACCTCCCCTCTTCCCTGTGCAGAGTGGGTGGCCGAGCTCCTCTTCGTCCTGTCAGTCCGGCCGGGTACCGCGCGGTACAGGAGATTCAGTTACCTGTTCCCGGCCGGACTGAAAGGAAGTGAGCACTCAGTGTGCACTTCCTTTCAGTCCGGCTAGGAACAGGTAATTGAATCTACTGTACCGCGTGTACCCGGCCGGACTGACAGGACGAAGAGGAGCTCAGCCACCCACTCTGTACAGGGAAGGGGAGGTAAGAGAGGCAGTGCGGCTGCACTATAGAGCGCTCAGGCGGCTGCAGCATTAGCATACCCGGCGTATAAGACGACCCCCTCACTTTGGAAAAGATTTTCCAGGGGTAAAAAGTCGTCTTATACGCCGGAAAATACGGTAATCCTGTACAGTCCCACCACACATGTTTGAATGAGCCACATTCACTATTACAACGCCAACAGATATTTGAGGAGTTAGCTTGGAATATACATATTTTCGTAGGGACCAAATACCATCTATGGATAAGTTTAAGGTATGTTTCCTGTATATTTATACAATGGACCGTTTTCCTTAAAGCTTCAAATACTTTTGACCAATCTTGATATGAAAAAGATTTATTTAATTCGGTTTCCCATCTAGAGATCTTCAGCAGTTAGAATCTTCTAACTGCTGAAGATTTATTTTTAACCTCTCCAAAAAAGATCTTGTCAAAAGGTGATTCTTTAATTATAGTTACGTTATAAAGAAAGTTTTTTATTTTTTTATTCTTAAGTAAAATGTTCTTTATTTACAAGTCCAATTTTTTCTTTAATACTTGGAAAGCTGCAAACGCCAGAGGTATCGTATAGGTCCTGAATTTTTATCCCATCTCAAACTAACCAACCAGATAAATTAATATCTTGATAAATTTGATTTTGAGCAAAAAAGTATTTCTTTATTGGTATTATAGATTGAAAAGTATGGGAGATAATTAAATTATCAATAGGTAGGTTTTTAAAAAGTTTTTATCTATCCAGAAAAGATCGAAAGGGTCAAAGGTATTACATAAACTCTTTTCATATAAATACCAAGTTTTCAGCTTTGAATTGTTATTTCCCCATTCTAAATAATGTGAAAACATAACTGTGTCATGGATATAAAATATATTTGGAAAGGATAGACCTCCTTCTGCTTATCTAGCTGACATAACTTTAAGAGCAATCCTAGGTTTTTTTGTTGCCCCAAACATAAGATACAAATAGACCATGAAACAATTGAAGTATTTTCTTTGGGACTCTAGGTGGGATAGTACGAAGTAGATAATCTAATTTTGGAAGTAGATATGCTCTAGTGATGTTTATTCTTCCAAGCTAAGATATTTGTAATTAAGACCATTTTAAAATTGTATTTCTAAATTCTCTAAGGAGTATGGTATAATTATCAGTGGTCCATTCTTCAATATTAAAATTTATATTTATTCCCAAATAACATAAAGAATTGGACCATTTACAGTTATTATTCAGGTTTCTTATTAATGAGCTTGGTAGATTATCATGCAAAGCTTGTGTTTTTTGCATATTGATCTTATAGTTAGAAAATCTACTTTATTCTTCTATACAATGAAGTGTGGATGGTATAGAAGATTCTGGGTTTGTTAAAATCTGAATTATATCATCAGCGAACATAGTTATTTTTTGTTCCTGATTTCCTAAGTTCACCCCAGTTATGTTATGATGCTGTTTTATATATACTGCCAATGGCTCAATAGAAAGAATAGAAAGAAGGGGTGCCAATGGGCACCCCTCTCGGGTTCCGTTTTTAATAGAAAACCAAACCGAATCTAAACCATTACCATAAATTTTCGCTTTAGGAGAAGAATATAAAGACATTGTTAGATCCTTAAAAGATCCCTCCATCCCAAATGCGGAAAGTGTAGCTGATAAAAATTTCCAGTTTACTCTGTCGAATGCCTTTTCGGCATCGACTGCTATAAAAACTGTAGAGAGAGATTTCTTGCCGACTTCTATCATCATGTTCAAAATTTTACGGATATTATCACTAGCTGATCTTTCTTTTATAAAGCCAGATTAATCTAAATGGATTAGATCTGAAATTATCTGGGTCAATCTATCTGCTAGCATTTTTGAAAATATTTTTATATCAAGATTAATGAGGGAAATCGGACGGTAGTTGGATATGTAATGTGGATCTTTCCCGGGTTTTGGGATTGGGGAGATCGTAGCCTTCAGCATTTCAGAGGAAAAACAATTGGTGGTTGT